TTTGGTTCAGGATTAAAGGGTACACCTGCTAGTGGAGGACACACTGGTCAAAGCTACAACTACACCTTCCATGGAGACCCTCACGCAATGTTCGCTGAGTTCTTCGGTGGCCGCAGCCCTTTCGATCATTTTTTCCCACAAAATGGGCACAATGACATGGACATCGACGACCCTTTTGGGCAGTTTGGCATGGGAAGAATGGGAGGCATGGGTGGCATGGGTGGCTTCCAAAGATCCTTTAAATCCCAACAAGGTGGCCCCCGCAGAGCGCACGAGAAGAAGAAGGACCCGCCCGTCATGCACGAGCTGAAGGTGAGCCTGGAGGAGGTCTTCTCGGGCTGCACCAAAAAGATGAAGATTTCCCGCAAGAGACTGAATCCGGACGGCTGCACCATGCGCAACGAAGACAAGATTTTAACAGTCGACATCAAGCGCGGCTGGAAGGAGGGGACGAAGATCACCTTTCCTAAAGAGGGAGACGAAACTCCCAGCAACATTCCTGCAGATGTGGTGTTTGTAGTAAAAGATAAACCCCACCCGGTGTTCAGAAGAGAAGGCTCAGATATTATCTATCCTGCAAAGATATCCCTCAGAGAAGTAAGTGAACATTGATCGTATTAAATATCAAAGGCTTAGAGATACGCACAAACATTGCTTGCTAATTAAGATGTTGATTATGATACATTGTTTTTCTCCAGGCGCTGTGTGGATGCACAGTCAACGCCCCTACACTCGATGGAAGGACCATCACTGTGTCCTCCAGAGACGTTGTCAAACCTGGGATGAAAAAGCGAATTGCTGGAGAGGGGCTCCCTCTATCCAAGTGCCCCGAGAAGAGGGGCGACATGGTCCTGGACTTTACGGTGAAATTTCCTGAAAAACTGGGCCAAAGCACACGAGATGCACTCAAGCAGATCCTTCCACCGTAACAAGTGGACATTTCCAGCAACACACTCCTCTGCTTTTTAGACCGGACAACTGAGGCTCAGGGCAGATTTGGTTCGCTCTAATGAGCGTCTAAAGACTTGGAAACTGACAGAGCAGCTTACATAAGGGTTTGTGTGTGTGTTCAGTGGAGGTTGATTAACAGGTTTACATCAAAATATATCACACATTTCAAACAAATTTGCAAAATGAAACGTGAATGAAAACGAGTTCCATCCACTCCCGTTATGCAATTATGAGAAAATGGGTTCATAGAGATAAGCAGCGGAGCAGTCCGGAAACCATTTGACCTTTTCAGAAAAGGGTGCAACAGTAGGTCATTTAGAGCAGTGGTTCCCAACCTGGGGGGCGCCAAAGATCGCAGGGGGGGCGCCAGGCCTCATATGATTTGAGGCCAAATATCATATTTAGACTTTTTTTTTTTTTTAAGGCAATACATGATTGTCACTAAAAGCCTTGTCTCTACATTACAATAAAATATAAAAAAATATTGATGAATTAATTTTAATAAAAATTCAAGTTGCTATTAAAGGCATAAAAAGACAGAAATGTATAATTCTTTCTATAGAAATGTTTCTTCTGCCCGTAAAGTGTCCAAAGCGCATTTTTAAAACATAGTCATTGTCCATGCCGGTTTCAGTTGGATTATTTGTCAGTTGCTCCGATCAGATTGGTCTCCTCCATTTTGTAGATATTTACGACTTTTGAATCCACATAAACACATCGGCAAAATCCGGCTTACTTTGAGCATGTGTTTTAAACAGTTTAATCCCTTTGTGAATTGTTTCCACTTCCGCCGTCCTTTAATTTCTTCATACAGCGGGAATCCAAATGAATTAATCCAGAGTCCAATAAATCACTCCAATAGTGCTCCTTAATTACGCTTTCATCCTCCTTTAACAAAATACTTCACATTCATCCAGTTGTGACAGTAGTTGTAGCATTTTTGAGACTTTTAAACTTGAATTACCGCTGTTGCGCCCCCCCCCCCGTGTGTGTGTGTGTGTGGGGGGGGGAGGGGCGCGCAACTTCCAACAGGAGTCATTTGGGGGGGCTCTTGGGAAAAAAGGTTGGGAACCCTGATTTAGAGCACCAGTCAAAGCTGAAAAACAGTGTAGAAACTGGATGGAAATAACCCATTTCTGTTTGTGTCCTGTATTAACGTGAGGAGGCATTACACCTGGCCTGTGTGGAGCCATTACATTCAATCTGCCGCTCATTCTCAGCCCCTTTAGTGGATGTTGAACTTGCATGATTCATGTACGTCATCATTTATTTGCTAAATCTGTTTCCATTGCACTTTGTCAAATGTAGTTTTTATCTTCACACCATCTCTTTCAGCTGAGCCTAGCATTAAAATATTTGTTGCGGTAAATAGAGGAAGGTGTATATAGGATAAGTCTGTATAAAGATACTTAAAAAGTTGTCATGTCAGGTATGGTTGCAAGAAAGACACTCAGTGTTTTTAAAGTAACAGTAGCAGTTTTTTGGAGTGTTTTTAAAGGAGCACGGAGCCCGCTGATTAACAATACCTCAGGTGCAGTGACGCATGCTTTTATGTGATTTGAACTACATTACCCAACAAGACATGAGTTCTGGTTGCCTTAAGATCGAGTAAAGGCTAAAATACATCCTGAGAGGTGAAATCATTGGATCTGACCCTCGGTATTAGCACCAAAAAGTACTTTTTGAACTGATCAGTGTTAGCCAGATGTAACTGATTAACGTTAAATAATATACATTCTTTATCAATTTAGTGTTTTAGTTACTCTTTGTCACAGCAAACGGCAGTTTTTAGGGCCCGATCTCAAACTGACTTTAAAAACCCATACATTTTCAACCGCCTATCACGAGTTGGGTTGCGTGGGTTTAAATTCCAGCAGAGGGCCCCAAACTTCCCTTTCTAGAAACGTATAATAAAAAAATATGCACAACCTAAAAACGTGTTCAACATTATAAATGTTCATTTAAGATAAAAAGAACTGATAGGCTCTTTGTGTTTGGTATCAAACGGCTATTATGAAGGAAAAAATGTATCTCTAATGTTTACTTTAACAATACCTTGTTTATCCAGCTAATTAGTTATATAAAACATTTGTGGGAAGACTTTTTGTGCCAAATAAATGTCCATATGTAGTTAAAATATGTCTAAGTATGTTGAGAGCATGTGTATATCCTGTAACAGTATGTGTGACTGACAAAGCTTTACTGCACTCGTTCCCTTTGAGGATGCTTAATTTACAGTATGTATTATATTTTAGTTCCCTATGTTTGACTCCTACAGCCAGCGAACACATTAGTCGTGTCCCGGCTAAATATTGCAGAGAAAAAGATGTGAAAACAAACCCTCAAGGTTTAAAGGCCTGCATTAAATATTTGTGTTTGATTATTTTATCCCGTATCTTTGAATGATCCAGGATGTTTAGCTTCTGGAAATATGTAGTGAAATCCCCTAAACTCTGCATTATTCAGCCCTGTTCACCTGGACTGTCTGATGGTGGAAGTTAGTCAATCAGTGTTTATTTTCCACTTTCAGTGTTTCGGTGTGGCCTGCTCCTGTGGGAGTTGTATGTTTCTTACTTGTGGTTTAACATGAATGTAGAGATGTGTAATCTCTGTTTGTTTTTTCTTTGCACACTTTTTTCTTTTCAGAGGCAAACAAAATGTGTAAGCATCATCTTGTTTTACCTCCTGTTTATGTTGTTTTTAAAATGCCTCAGGTTGGAATTCAAGATATTTTTATGTTTAATGACAAAGCTTTTATGAATTGATATTGAGATAGACATTTTCGATAGATCCTTCCTATGCTGTGATGATTTGCATTTCCACATAAAAAAAACTGGCAAGTATCTAATCAATGATGGCCTACGTGTTGTTATTGAGAATGTTTTTGCATCTTTTAGCTGAAAGGTGAGATTTGAAGTTATTAAGCTCCAAATGTGTTTTAGTCAATATTGTCTTGTGGAAAAACCGGATTCCATTAAAAAAACAGACTCTGCTTGCACCATTTTTCAGCCATTTACTCAACATCTTCTATTGTTTAATATTTTCATAAAAACCCATCTAATAACATTATTCTTGTGTTTCACAAAGATAACTCGCAGCAAAACCCGCATTAAAATGTGAGCTTCATAAGCTACATTGGAGTTTGACTAAAGCAGTCATGTACCACTGCCCTCTGGTGTTCAAGATGTAAAACTACACTGACTCTTTTTACATGTATACAAACACATAATAAGGCAAGTTGTGCATCCTGAGGAGAATGGCCTTAACAAAAAATGGAGCTCGCATAATTGAATTTTAACCCAAAAAAGATTCCTAGTTCTCTAGTGGCAAAACACTTAGCTTGTAATCAACACTAAAACGTGTGAGAAAATATTGCTCAAAAGGAAGAAAGAAATATGAGAAATCTGTTGTTTATATTTCTTTATTACAGAATACCATAAACAGCTTTTGTGATACTGTGTCTTCAGAGGTGGGAAGTTACTAAGTACATTTACTCAAGTACACTCAAGTACAATGTTGAGTATTTCCATGTTATGCTACTTTGTGCTTCTACTCCACTACAATTCAGACGTAAATCGTGTACTTTTACTCCACTACATTTATTTTGTACATTTAGTTACTTTGGATTAATGATATAAAATTAAAAAGGACCTAAGTTACACCTGGAGCAACATTCACAAGCTACCCTGCAGTATACAAAGTCATTCAAACTAGCTGCACCTTTAACAGCTTTGATATGCATCAACAATAATAAGCAAAACATATGATATTGGGAAATTGACCAATTTGCATAATGAGTAAGCCTACTTTTGGTACTATAAGTATATTTTGATGCCAATACTTTTGTACTTTTACTTGATTAACCTTTTGAGTGCAGGACTTCTACTTGTAACAAAGTATTCCTACACCTGTACTTTTACTCAAGTACAAGATCTGAGTACCCTTCCCACCTCTGTGTATCTTGCATATTTCTTGATCTTGACAACTTGTATTCACGTTATAAGAACAATTCCTTTACTTGGAAACGGGGATTTACGAGTGAACCTGAATGCGGCATTGTTCCACCCCTGCTGGGCTGGCAGAAGCTACAATCCTCAGCAGCAGCATACCGACACTCAGACACCACACCGGGATACCTCCCTAAAACCTGCCCAGGCCGGGTCCACCTGTCAGCAGCGGAGCAGCAGAACACATTGGACTTCCTTTGCAAGAGGACATTTTTTCTGACAACTCGCCCTAACCCCGTTAGCAGGCTAAGCTAGCAGGAAGAGCTAACGACAGTTGGCTAAAACTCCGGTGAGAACCACCATGTTTACTCCCTTATGTTCACACTTAGCGACCACAGTGTAGCTAGCTAACAGTCCCCAGCTGTGCGAACAATTTAAGAAAATACCTCGCTTCTAAATGTGAAATTATCTGTCACTGATTTGATTAGTTTCCGTTTGTAGGAGCTACATGCTAAGTGGCTAGCTAATTGAGAGTTGTCAGTGTTTGTGTTACTAGAAGATGAGTGGGAAATGTGCCTCACAGCTAACAGCTAAGAGCTCTGTGTGATGTTCTGACTGGCCAAGCTGAGGAAACGTTTTAATCTTTAAAAAGAGCTAATGAGTGCTAATAAAAACCTACTTTATAAACTATGACAATGAGATGTAATGACACAGCGAGTTTGAATGAAATTGATGGGAAAACCCAGATGTAACTGCTTTGGTAAATGTATGAAAGTGAAGGGTTGCTGTCCCTAATATTGCATATTGGTGCACTAAAATACCACTTCTAAAACATGCACAGCTCACACATATTGCAAGCATGTTTAAGGTATTCTGTATAGCATAGTATTCAAATGATTGTTCCTCCTATATTCTAGTATTCTATGTGTCTTGGTTTTTGTGATGTTTTTTTTTCTTTCTAATTTCCCTTTCTGCAACCGTTTTTTTATATATACATATGCACCAATAGTGAAACTTACTTATAATTAAACCTGATTCTGTATCTCTTTGCAGCTGAAGCCCCCCCCCCCCCCCACATCAGGCTGTTGGACATGACAGGTCAGGCTATGTAAGCTGCTCTGATGTTTGGACTTGAACCTTCATTCAGAGCCTGGTTGAGACAGCTTTACAGCTTGTCTGGAGGACCACACTATAACTCTGACATAAATCACCCTACGGACCTGCAGCTGGTTTGGCTGTTGGTCTGGATTGTAGCAGAACTCTCCAGAGCAGCGCCTCCCCTCTCCCCCACCTGCTCTCCCTGTATCACTACGATGCCTCTGGGTCTGGGAAGAAGGAAGAAGGCGTCCCCGTTAGTTGAGAACGAGGAAGGGGAGCCTATCCGCGCAGGTCTCCATGTGCCGGGCATGGAAGATGGAGGTGTGTTGGGGTTGGGAGAAGGGGCCACCTCTGAAGGTCTGCCCCCCCCACACAGCAGCATGCGACCTCGCCTCATCTTCCACACTCAGCTCGCTCATGGCAGCCCCACCGGCCGTATAGAGGGCTTCAGTAATGTGCGGGAGCTCTATGCCAAAATTGGTGAGGCCTTTGGGATACCGCCTGCTGAGGTGAGTCCTTCTGCTGATGTGATGGGAGTATGGATATACAGGTTTGCTTAATTTGACCAAAAAGACATAATCTAATCTGACTCGTCTGTTGTGTTCCTCCACAGGTTATGTTTTGCACACTGAACACTCACAAGGTGGACATGGATAAACTGTTGGGAGGGCAGATTGGGCTAGAGGACTTTATTTTTGCCCACATTAAAGGACAGCGAAAGGAAATCGAGGTGTACAAAGGAGAGGATGCACTGGGTTTGACGATCACCGATAATGGAGCTGGCTACGCTTTCATCAAGGTGAGAAATGTTCAAATAGCCGAGAACATTGATTTGATTTCATTCAAAGATCCACAGGGGAAGGCATGAACCTGGACTATGTTAGGGAATGTTTTCTGCACAGAATATTGAATAGATTACACGAGACAGGGAGATAGTGCTGGACAGTGTATTGGATTTTGTATTCAAACTTTTATATATATCTTTTTTTAGAGAATCCGCGAGGGGAGCGTCATCCACCAGATACAGGTCATCAACGTGGGCGATATGATAGAGTCGATCAATGGCCATCGCCTGATTGGATGTCGACACTATGAGGTGGCCAAGATGCTGAAGGAGCTGCCCAAAGGGAAGGAGTTCACCATCAAGCTCACAGAGCCGCTCAAGGCCTTCGGTGGGTGGCTAACAAGCTCAGCACAACATGGGCCTTTCTTCAGGGCGTAGACTCTACGTAACAGAGGCAGCAAAAACGGTGATAAATACACTGATTGAGAAAACTCCAAATAATATTGGCATTACTCGCATGTTTTTATTGGAAAATGTGCATTTAAAATAAGGCCTAATTAACATTATCCAAATGGAATATCCTTTGATATGGACATTATGAGATTAACAATATTCATATTATAAGAATTATATATTTAGTCACCATACAATATTTGATAATAGAACAATTATTAAATGTATTTAAGTTATTGCATAGATTGCTTGACGTAGGGGCCCTTAATGCATATATAAAACAAAGTGATGCCTCTTGGGTCCATTTGCAAATAATCCTAAATGACTTGCGCTATATTTTTGGACTTACAGCTCCACTAACAATCGGCAATGTTCAGTGAGAGCAACATGAGATTAAGTTTAAAAAAAAGTATTAATTAATGGGGTGAGTAATGTGACGAGGCATGATGTTAAGCTCTGTACAAAGTGTTTAAGGGTCTCTTATGAATCATTATTCATAGATATGATCGGGCAGCGGTCTGGAGGGTCCAGGTCGGGATCCGGGGTTCAGCTGGGGACCGGCAGAGGAACCTTGCGGCTGCGATCTAAAGGTCCTGCTACTGTTGAGGAGCTGGTGAGGGTTTTAACTATAACTAGCTATAGACTGACACCAGCTCTCTGTGATGGTCAGAAAACAGAATCCTGTTGCATTGCCTGAGTCTCTGCTGTGTTTGTTTTCATCTCAGCCCAATGCATTTGAGGAAAAGGCCATTGAGAAGGTGGATGACCTGCTGGAGAGCTACATGGGCATCAGAGACAGCGAGCTGGGTGCGTGTGTGTTGTTGTCTCTACAGGTGTCGGCATGAGTTTGTCACTTGTGTGTGTGTTCACTAACTGTTGTCCTCTCTCCGTCTCCTCAGCGGCGACCATGGTGGAGCTAGGAAAAGACAAGAAGAACCCTGATGAGTTTGCAGAGGCTCTAGACGAAACCCTCGGAGACTTTGCATTCCCAGACGAATTTGTTTTTGACGTCTGGGGTGCCATCGGCGATGCTAAGGTTGGGAGAGTGTAACCTCCGGAGCAGAACAACCTTTGTGTGTGTGACACCCACAACATTCAGCACTACTAGGAAACACAACACTACCGTCATTTGTTTTTATTCCAGTGTATACTATTTTTAATTTAGAGTGCACTCTTTTGGGACTCTGCCTAGACAAAGAGGATAATGGGAGAAGAAGGACTGCAATGACTTCCCAAGTGCTTTTATTTGTCTTCCGGCTTTTTCCAGACAAAAGCATGATGATGAGCTTTCCCTTTGAGCGCATCACATGAACCTGCATGTTGTTGTTGTAGTCGCTGTCAGTGGAACAAGTACAGCACACGTCTCTAATATGGGAGCAATTAAAGACAACTAAGTAGATATTTGATACTTTAACAATTAGATTTTTGTTCACACTTTGCACTGTGTTGCACCGCGCTGAAAACCAACAACAGACGTGAATAGAAATTGCACTCTACAAGGAGTCCTAAGTTACAGTGTCCTCAACCACTCGCTGTTACTGTTGAGGGTCAGTTTTAAAAGCATGTTTTATTTTTATCTTCATAATGAATTCTGCTGGTTTTATGTCTGTTTTTTTTCTCGCAAAAAGGGTCATAGTGAGTAGCCGACTAAAAGACCATTGGTGTTCGTTCACCTTAACACACTCCATGCTGTAATGAAGCTAACTGCAGCAAACTACATTTTTATTTTAATACGTTTGACAATGTTACAGAAAATCAGTGTAACAACCTTTTTTATGAAGGTTTGTTGTGTCTACTTATTTCTTTTATAGCTAGTGTTTTTATATAAAGTGATGTCTATTTTAAAACAGGGTTTGTGTAATGAATGAACAATTTGATCTTGTGACGCAACTAGCTCATTCTGAAGCATTACAGAAGGCAGTATTAAAAACGTGTGAAATTGAGTAGTTGTTTAAAAATAGAATTTGGTAAAGATACAACTCACCCATGAATCAAAATACATTTTTCTTAACATCTTTCCTTAAGTGATATTTATCCATCTAGATTATTTGTGTGTGATTTGCCCAGTGTTTTAAGTATCAGAAAATTCTTTATTATGCTGAAAGCGCCAAATAATACATTTGGAAAAACTCACGAGCGATGGCTCTTTCCCGAAATATGACCTATCTATTTGAGGAAAATCTACAGACCTAGTTGGGAGCAGTTTCATCCGAGGACTTTTTTTGTTTTGTTGCAGAACTACACCAATATTTCCAAACACTGGGCATCTAGCACTTTTACATTCTGGATTGATAAATAGCGCGACAGTTAAGAGGGTAAATGTATATTTTTGATTGTGAGGTGACCTGACCCTTTTAAGAAAGAAAAGGCCTTAATTTCTTCTAATCTCGTGCAAGCTTTTGTTAGAAGTATCTATTCTGGTGCTGAAAAATGAAGTATCCCCTCATTGGAGCAGAATCATTCAAAAACGATTTCACCATGTAACTAGTGTGGTTTATAGAGTGAAAACAACAGGCAATGCAGCACCAACTACTCAGCGTAGGTAAACATGTCTTTCATTTTTTGTTGGTGTTAACCTTTTCAGTATTCCCAAATGTATGAAACAATTTTGTTATTTTTGTTCTACTCTTCAGAGTTAATGAATATCTAAATGTAATGAAACTGATGCTAGAACACTGAAACACTGACACATTATTTTGTTGGCTTTGTATAACACTGTTGTCAATGTTTAATTATAATGCAATAATAACATCGACATGGCGGTTTTCCTTCTTTTTGGTCTTTCCTAAGTACTGCTGCTTTATGCTGTCACAAAATAATGCTGTGTGTAAATGTTTTCACAACAGTCACAGAAACCTCCCCTCTTTGTTTGCACCGCTTCACTCCTTTCCTCCTGAAATATATATGACATGTAACTATGAATCTCTTTAGGTGTCAGCAGGCCATCAGAGGCAATGTAATAAAATACGCCTAAGTAAACCTGATCGGGCGGGTTCAACTCTAGGCCTCCGTCCCAGTTCAACACGAAATAACCTTTGCAGTAGATTATTGCAAGAAAGTTTATACTGCTATTTCCAGTTCCCATTACCCTCTGAAATCCCTGCTGCCCCACTGATATACCTTGTGTCTTTTATTCCCTTTTTCATGGATAAATAGAGCACTTTCAGCAGCATTCACCTTTTCATTTTTAGAAGAAAAACATGCCTTTTTGACTCAGCTGGAGACAGCCCAGTTATATAAAGCTCTGTTGTGGCTGGCAGCTGATTGGTCGGGACATGTCCTTTATTTATAATTGCAGAAAACCTGTTATTCGAGTCCCTGTTGATCTATAACCCTGGTTTTTCATAAACAGTGTCCAGATTACTCAGTGGACTCCCTGCAGAGAGGAGCACTTCTTTTTCCCCACAGTGCAGTCTACCAGGAACCCCCCCATACCACCAGGAACCAGCCATGGCGATGCGCCCACGTGCTTCCTCTCAGCCTGGAAAGCTTTCCTTCTTCCACAGTCCCAAGGCAGCTTCAGCCCTTCGACCGCGGGCCATGTCCTCGCGCTCGGGCTCCATGCTGGAAGAGGAGCTGTCCTGTCCTGTCTGCTGTGACATCTTCAGGGACCCCGTGGTCCTCAAGTGCAGCCACAGCTTCTGCCGAGACTGTCTGCAGCAGTTCTGGAACAAGAAGAAAGCCAGACGAGAGTGTCCCGTCTGTAGGAGGAAGTGCTCCCTGACGGAGCCCACGGTCAGCCTGGCCCTGAAGAACGTGGCCGACACCTTCCTGAGGGAGCAGGAGCGCAGGGCAGCTGGGACAGGAGGAGGGCCCGGGGGGACAGGGGAGCAGGAAGTGGAGGAGAGGTGTATCACACACGGGGAAGTTCTCAAGCTCTTCTGTCTGGATGACTTTGAAGCACTCTGCTGTGTGTGTCACACCTCCAAAAAGCACCAGGGGCACAGAGTGTGTCCTCTGGAAGAGGGAGCGCAGGATCTCAAGGTAATGTGTTCTTTTATTTTGTAGTTTGTTATGGGTTAAAGTATTGTGATCTGCCGCTTCATATTTCAAAAAATGGACCTCCCTTCTATGCTTTAGTCTGTGTAGACCAAATGGGATGGAACACCAAATGTCTTCTGAAACTTTGACCCTTTCTGTCCCCTCACCCTTAAGGCAGAACTAAAGAAAGATCTGATTCCTCTGAAGAAAAACCTGCGCTGCCTGTATGAAGCCAAGCAGGAGTGTGATGACACAACTGTGCACATCAAGGTATCAATAAACAAAGAGATCCAGGAAAAAGGAGAGGACCAGCATGACCGCTGATGTGACTGTAACTGGAGTTGAGGCGCGCACTGTTAATGTGTAAACATGTCAGCCTGGGTGTTAGAAAGCCGATCCTCCGCAATGAAACATTTTCTCAATTTGATTCCATTTCCTGCCTTTCTACAAATATATTAGGGACTAATACGTTTGCCGTTGTTAACAAATCCAAGAAAAATGTGTAGTGTATATAATGAGTGCGCAAACTTATCTATCCTATCCATGTGAACCTGTTTTATTTGTGATGACCTCACATCCTCTAGGGGGGTCTGGGGGCATGCACCCCGGGAAGATTTGTTTTCTTTAAATTGAAGTTGAATGCATCAATCTGGTGCACTTTGAGGGCAACATTAAGAGATTTATGGATACAGCTCTCAACACTCATATGAAACAGAACTGTATATATTTCAATAATCAAAACACCATTAGAATATGCTCACAACCAATAACAAATCATTGATAAACTCCTCTCTCCTATCTTTATCTTACCTAGTCTGCATTCTTTCTTTTTATTTATGCATATTTGACTAATCGCTCCCCTTTCAAACTGTGTTTTTTTATTTTTCTACTGACCTATAGTACACATTGGAAGGATTTCTTAACTTATTTTATATTACATAGATGGAAATATTTGTTTACATAGATGACCAAACCGTTTGAGACCCACTGAGATAACTTAGACTAAAGTTTACAATCTAATCACTCAGCGAGTCCTTTATCTCCCTGAGCTGTAGTCATCTCAGCCTCTCAGTCCGACAGGAGAGGACTCTCCCTCTCCTTATTGTTGAAACAGCTTCTAATCTCCGTTAGCTCCGAGCTAGCACCAGATGCTAACAACAACCCCTGTAAATCTCTCTCTCTCTCTCTCTCTCTCTCTCTCTCTCTCTCTCTCTCTCTCTCTCCTCTCTCTCTCTCTCTCTCTCTCTCTCTCTCTCTCTCTCTCTCTCTCTCTCTCCCCCTCTCTCTCAAAGTCTGACAGGAAAGAGCTCTCCCTCTCCTTATTGTTGAAACAGCTACTAATCTCCGTTAGCTCCGAGCTAGCACCAAATGCTAACAACAACCCCTGTAACTCTCTCTCTCTCTCTCTCTCTCTCTCACAAGATGCACTCGTGCCACACACACACACACACACACACACACACACACACACACACACACACACACACACACACACACACACACACACACACACACACACACACACACACACACACCTCCGTGACGATGAACGCTTGCGTAAAAAAATTATAATAAACACATTTAAAAAGTGGGGGGGACACAAATGGGATTTTGAAAAGTGGGGGGGACGTATCCCCCCTGTCCCCAGTGGAAATTACGCCCATGGGCAGAGCAGCCAATTAGCACTTAAAGAACATGCTTTTGAATATAATATATTTGAAAGGGATACTGTGAAAAAACATGGAAAATAAGATTAAATCCAACAGCTATTTCACAGTGATGCTTTTTAAGATGCCAAAAACAGGAAATAAGGAAATTCTTAATATGGTGTTATGGTGTTCATATTACTTTTGTATTGGCCAGATAAACATAAAATGTACAAGACACTTACTTTTCAAGGTGTACTTTGGTGAATAAAATCTAAGTAAAGGTAAATATAATTTGGACATGTAGTTAAACAAAGGCTTACATATAAAAGACAAGTACACTCCAGCCATATCATTGTACATTCACTTTATTTCTGTGTGCTAGAACCAGACTGAGGCCACAGAAAAGCAGATGAAAGAGGAGTTTGAGCAGCTGCGGGAGTTCCTGCAGAAGGAGGAGACGGCTCGGATGGCCGCCCTGCTGAAGGAGGATGAGGAGAAGAAGGAGCTGGCGAGGAAGAAGTCAGAGAACATCACCAGAAGTATCTTCACCTTTTCTCATGCTGTCATTGCCATTGAGAACGAGATTGGTTCCAGTGATGCTCTCTTCCTTAAGGTAATACATCTTTCTCTTTCAATTCATCCTATCATACAAACAGTTTCTAATCCCCTTTCTCTTGATTTCAGAATTACGCCAACACAAAGAAAAGGTCATTTTTATTGTCTTCTGCATCTTCTCTGTATATCAGATTCAGCTTACTATATATGTATTGGATTCCTGTGTGTTTTTTTCTTCCCACAGAGCACAGATCCCACCGAATATCCCAGAAAAGGTGTGGAAGGACGCTCTTATAAATGTGGCCGAGCATGTCGGTTCCCTCAAGTACCACGTGTGGGAGAAGATGGCGAAGCTGGTTCAGTACAGTAAGCACTTATTTGACTCTCTGCAGGATGTTTTGTAACATGAAAAACTGAATTTTGTTAAACAAGTCAGCACACTTGTTCAGTAGCAAGTGTTACTGAATAGTTTGACACTGAAGAAGGCAAGTGTGGAGTGAGTATGCTCTGCCATTTTTATTAAAAGGTAGATTCACCATGTTTTGTGTATTATGTGTATATGTTTTGTTGACCTTTTGTCTAATCAGTCAATTGAAGCAATAAACTCCTCAGTGCATCCCCAGAAAGCCTCCTGTTTCCGTTGTCATGCTGGCATTGCCTTCGTGTCCCAAGATGCATTGCGTGTGAGCTTCTGACGCCTGAAGGGTACCTGCTGGTCATATCCTCCTGAAATCCAAGCTGAAACAGCCTGTAGTTCTTCCTTTCATCAAAATAGGTCACTGTCACATCAAAGGATGCAGGGAGAACAAGAGATTTTGCAGCTTTCTCTGTCAATATAGCACTCACAGAGGAATGTATTGATTCAATTGACTATGTCATCCACATAAGAGGTGGCAGTGTTTCCCTTTAACCTGGTAGGCTTGTCTGTTAAAGTTCTGGAAAATGTTGTTTTTAAGCAAAGCAGTGTGCCTTGAAATTTGGGAGGAATTAATCACATTTTTTTCTAACTCACGTTTTTTTCAGCGCCCATCACCCTGGACCCCAACACCGCCTACCCCTGGTTGTCCCTCTCCTCAGACCTGACCTGCGTCACTAACAGCGGATGCCTCCAGAATGTCCCGGACAATCCTGAACGTTTCGGCCATTTTGTGTTCCTGCTGGGGTCAGAGGGCTTCACCTCGGGCCGCCACGCCTGGGAGGTGGAGGTGGGGGACAAGGCGGACTGGATGCTCGGGGTGGTCAAGGAGACCATCGACAGGAAAGGCCACATTTCAGGTTGTCCCGAAGGTGGCTTTTGGATGATTGCCCACTACGAGGGCGAGTACTCGGCCATGACGAGGCCCAGCACCCCGCTGCACCTGCAGGGGGAGCTGACCCGGGTCAGGGTGCAGCTGGACTTTGACTCCGGACAGGTGATCTTCTCCAACCCTGTGAGCATGATGCCCATCTACACCTTCAATGATTTCTTTACTGAGAAGATTTACCCCTTTTTCTGCCCTGGAGCCAACATTAATGGGAATAACCCCAACCCGCTGAAGATCTGCACCGCTAAGGTGGCTGTGTGGAACAGTGCTACATGGTGAATTTGAAAAAAAATCTAACCATATTACAACACAAATTTCCCAATTGTGTATCAAATCATTTGGGTGCATGTTTATGTGTAAAATGAGCATGATACAATCAGAGTAATTAGAACAAGTATTGGTTTATTTCATTTGGATTAATTCATTAGTTTATGAAGTGCTTTAAAGCTACCAAGGAATGGGATTTCCTTTGTAGTCCAGGAAGGCTCCGTTCTGCTTCTCAGTCAGGGAGGCCATCACGTCACACATACCCAGCACACTCTCCTGAACATCAATTTCCCCCTGGTGGTCAGAAACACACAGTTCACAAGAAGGAGTTAAAAAAACAAGACTGCAATTCTGTCATATTCATTCCTGACCTTGGACACCTTCATATTTGATCCAAGTATGATTTGTTTCAATATGACCTCAATGTGAACAGCTCATGAGATATGTCATTTGTATGTAATTCTTTGTTGTGTAAGCATGCAGAACAGCTGCAATCGTGGAGGTTCATTTTAAGGGAAAGTAAAATGTTGCAAAAATAATCTCAAGTGATTTTCTCACCATGAGAGTTGCGACATTTTATTAGTTTTTTTTCTGTGAATTCTCTTGATTCTCAATTATTTACATTACCCCTAAAAGAATGTGTGTGAAATATGAAATCATACAACATGATGTTAATGTCATACTTCTCTATTAATAAATTAAACTATCAATCAGAGCTGACTGGTTCCTGTACATTGTTACATTGTTTCCTGTTTCATTACAGCAGACTCACATCCTCTCCACCCATCTCAGTGCGCACCCAGCCTGGATGCAGCAGAGAAAACAGGATCTCGTCCTTCCTCAGTTCTTCTACAGCACACATAGTCAGCATGTTCAGAGCAGCCTGAGGAGAGAGGGAGGGAAAGGAGCTCCATTTATCAAGTTTAAGATGGAGGCTTTAAATAGCAGATCACTAAGTTGGCATGTTGTCACTCACCTTGCTGATGCGGTAGGAGACGGCGGGTATAAACTCATATGTTTGTTGAATACGTTGCATTGAAGCCAGAGTGGAGGAGATGTTGACGACGGCTGCTTTGCTGGTGGACATCCCTGGCGTCCCACAGGCCTTTGCCGCTGAACGCAGGTGAGGCAGGAACTCCTAATGATGACCAGAAGCAAAGAGAAAATAAAACCTTGAAAATACTATGACCCCATTTCTGTATTGCATTATAAACCTACACAAATGTGTTATTATCTGCCTATAGCAATGTATCATGGCAGTTGTAAGCACCCTTTAATATGTGTAATGCTTTATAACAATGATGTACAGCCTGTTATAAGGACTTGTAAGGTTAATTATCATACATTGTATTTTATAATTGTTAACCTACTAATATGTTGTGATGATGGAATTGCATATAGTATTTGATTATAAAAAGATTGTAATGTATGAATTTACAAGTAAGGAAATTATCATTTAAAAAAGTCTGTGTGACCAGCAACCAGTGGCGTAGCTGTGGGTGGGCCCGGGCCCACCCACATGCACGTCTGGCCCACCCACAGCCGATCAGCGCTTCATAGCGCAGAGCCGGGAAGCCCAGAAGGAAGTGCCACAAACTGCAGTTTATCTAGTGGCCGACAGGGGATGGATGCAAAAAGGAGCAATTCCCATAGACCCCCATGTTAAAATGCCCAACTTTACAGCAGAAATGTGTTTACAACATGTTTCTAGCCTGGATCTAATAAAACGTATTCTGGATATAGTTAGATTCCACCTTCATGACAATGGAATAGGGAGTGCATTTTTTTACCGTGAGTTTTTATAGCAAGTAAAGTAACTTTTGCCGTGAGTGAATGAGCGAGGAGGCGGGGCAGTTTACACACACGCAGCTGCTACATGCAGCAACACACACACACGGAGGAGATGGCGGAGAGGACGCGCTCCGAGGTGTGGTTAAACTATAGCCGTGTCGATGTGGACAATACTCGTTACCAAAAGTGGAATAAGAGTTTAGCATGTAAGGGCGGTAACACGAGCAATTTGTCTAAACATTTAGCAAAAGTGCTCCACATTCAGACGGAGAAATGCACCGGGTTCCACCGTCTCTCTAGTAGCTCTGTAGCCCCATCCACGAGTAACGTTTCCACGTCAGGTATGTTATGTATGCTAGCAGCAACACACAGAGTTAACTAGCCTACATTATACAAACATGGGTTAATGATTAGAGGTAACTGAGTTACTCTTTATTTTGTTAAAGTTTCAGCTATTCTGTTTACAATTCTGTCATCACATTATTTAATACGATTTGTTAAAAACATTGTTGTTTCTTTTGATGTGAAATATTATGTATTCAATTGAAATAAAAAGCAATGTTAGTTTTGTTCACAATTTGTTTAGTTAGTTTACCTTATTTTTTTCTCCAAAAGAACCGATAAAAGTAATGTTAAAGGACCGGATCGATAAGACATAGACATACTTTATTGTCATTTCAATAAGACACAGAGTGTACTATTAAAACGAAATTTCGTTGTACTGGCTTACAGGAACAGGATAATATAAAAACTTGCTAAAATTGTACATATAAATAAATAATAGTGACGTGGTGCTGATAAAATTAAAGATAAAGTGTGCGTTTAATATATAAAGACTTACTACATATAAATAAAATAGACATACTATATAACAAGTGCTCTTTACACAGCGTAATGTAATCTTTATGTTACTGGTCTACTTGCTGTTCAGCAGTCTGATGGCATGGGGGAAAAGCTATTACAGAATCTGGCTGTTTTGCTCTTAATGCTGCGGACCTCTTGCCGGAGTGCAGCAGGGAGAACAGAGCACCTCCTCCATGTAGGCCTGTTCGTTGTTGTCCCTGATGAGTCCCACCACTGTTGTATCGTCCGCGTACTTTATGATGTGGTTGGTACTGAACCTGGAGCATAAACATAAGCACTATCGATAAAAGTAGTAGTACCGTTAAAGCCTTAACGATACCCATCCCTATGTGGATGTCAGTTTTACACACATTTTGAGGCCGCCGTGCCTATTTTTTTTGTTTTCACTGCTAATTTATGCTTATGTTCTATTAGTGCATTAAAAAATCATTAATGAAGTTTCAGCTCAGACCCCACGCTTAATATGTCTCCCCCTGGCCCACCTACATTTCTCCAGGCCCACCCACACAATAATTCCTGGCTACGCCACTGCCAGCAACTAGTAGGGGAGAGTGGGGTAAGATGAGCCAGTGGGTTGACCCACCCCTTTAGCTCATGTGACCATAAATTCAGGAAGCACCCATCATTTATATTTGGCTGTGATAGAAAAAATCACATGGTTAAGTGGTAAATGTGTTTTCTTTCACAATAAACCATGTTTTGCTTGTCAAATTAAATATTCAACATGTCAGGTATAATTACTGTTAAGTCAAAGCGAATTTATCCAGGTCTGAAAATCTCAAGTTGAGCCACAACACCTCTTTTTTTGAGAAGTCATATTGTCATGGCCCTTTGTGATTGATTGACACAAGACATCCTGAAGTAAAGGTTGCTGTTGTCTTCTGACTTATATCTCATTTATCCTTGTCTAGAGGACAATACAAGTACAAATTGGCTCATCTTACCCCACTCTCCCTTACTAGTACTGAAGTATTATGACACTTGACCTTATCTGGTTATACCATTATTTAATAGTGTGTTATGTTTATAAGATAAGGTAAGATAAGAAGTACTTTATTGATCCCAGTTTGGGAATTTTTTCCGTTTAAAGCATTATGAGGATTGCTTATCATTTTAATTATACAGCAAGCACTGGTAATAATGCATTAAGGGTCTATGGACAGGGTACATATTGTAAAGCCCCCTGTCATTTGTGATATTGGGCTTGCAATAAAATGTAATTGATTGATATTTATAATGCATTATGGAATTGAGCCTCATACAAAGGGTTACAAAAACGTTCAGTGCTGTATTGAAATTCAGTGTTTCAGACTTCCCTCTATCTTACTTGAAGGATGCTCATCGGGCCTATGACGTTGGTGTTGAAGGTTTTCTGCATCTCCTCAGGACTTGTTTCCTGCAGGGTTTTTCTGAAGATGATGCCAGCGTTGTTAATCAGCAGGTTGAGACCCCCCGTCCCCACCAGAGAGCCCACATGCTGGGCGCACTGTTTTATGCTGCAAAGGTCATCTGCGTCTGACATAGAGGGAAAGAAAGTTGAGCATCAGTGGTTGTCAGATAAATATCAGAGCCCAGGGTTATTCATAAGCCATTGCATGCCGGGACATGGTAGCAGGACGGAGGGTTTAACAGAATCTAAGAGATCTTACCAAGGCGGACGACAGAGATGATGTCAGGATGCTTCTTTGCCAGTGTTTGCAGAGCCTGTAAATACACAGAGAAGAGACATTTGTAATCCATCACATTGTTGATCACTTTAAAGGGGACCATCATGCAAAATTCACTTTTTGAAGTCTTTTATACATAAATATGTGTCCGGTGGGAACTCATGCAGCGTCAGAAAATAAAACCCTCTCTCTCTCCATACCCAAATCTCTAAAAACGGGGGTACAACGGAGCTTATCCAGATTTGCGTCCGATATGACGTAAAATCGGAAATGTGGACCCACGTCACTATCAGAAAGTTGCTATCAGATTTTAAAGCATTATAAATCAGCAGTTTTGAAACAGGAAGTGAAATAAAGGGATATGAGCAGGGGTGCACATCACTTTTTTGCCCCGGTTCTCAAAGGAGCACCTGGAGATGTTGCTTGGTGCGCATCCTTAAAATAAAAAAAACCGGACCTTTTGCAGGGATTGGCAGACTCCACAGGAGAGCGAGAACATGTTGAAGTTTTCAAAAGTAAGAACTCAGCTCTGTCTGACCTGCTGGGGTTTTCTGCTCAGGGTGCTCTGGTCAGATCCCGGTTTCAGAACATCGTGAAAATGGATGCTCCCTCTCACTTTTTCTTTGGTCTCGAGCGTAAGAATGGTCAGAGGAGGCTGATGCACTCCCTGCGATCCAATGCTGGGCAACGTGACTCTAATTCGAGATGTTTTGGACCTCTCCGGTTCATTGGGCTGTGAGCTTGGTCTGATTTCTCTAGACCAAGAAAAGGCTTTTGACCGAGTTGAACACCAGTACTTGTGGCAGACGCTGGAAGCTTTTGGGTTCAGCTCTGGTCTCATAGCCAAGATCCAGGTCTTGTACAGGGACATTGAGAGTGTACTGAAGATAAACGGTAGTTTGTGTGCTCCTTTTGAAGCTCAGAGAGGAGTCCGACAGGGCTGCTCTTTGTCCGGGATGCTCTACTCCCTGGCCATAGAGCCCTTTTTACACCGGTTAAGGTCAAAGTTACAGGGTTTCTCTTTTCCTGGCTGTAGGGATGTTTTTAAATTGTCTGCGTATGCGGATGACATAATGGTCTTTGTTAAAAAACAAGATGACATCAATGTTTTAACTGAAACTGTGAGCAATTTTTGCAAAATCTCATCTGCTCGAGTCAACTGGGGAAAAGTGAGGCCTTAGCAGTAGGAGAGGGCAGTATTGACAGCTTGTTGTTACCTGGGGGCCTTGGTTGGAAAAGGGCAGGGTTAAAGTTCCTGGGTATTTATCTTGGTGATGACACGTTTTGTTTGAAAAACTGGGACGGGCTTATAGAGAAAGTGGAAGGCCGGTTAAAGAAGTGGAAGTGGATCCTTCCCAAACTTTCTTTTAAAGGGCGTATCCTTATTTTAAACAACCTTGTTTCCTCCATGCTGGCTTACCGACTGGCATGCACCAATTCACCCGTAAACCTGCTGTCCAGGGTGCAGGCTCTCATGGTGGACTTCTTCTGGAACCGCATGCACTGGGTCCCTCAGAGCATCCTGTTCCTGCCAAAGGAGGATGGGGGACATGGCCTGGTTCACCTGGCAAGCAGAGGGGCGGCCTTCAGGCTCCGGTTCGTCCAGAGGTTCCTGACTGGACCTGCTGACCTGGTCTGGAGACCCGTAGCTCGGGCCTTATTGGAGCGCTGTGGTGGGCTGGGTCTGGCTGAGTCGCTGTTCCTAATGGACCTGAAAGGATTACGCCTGAACAATCTCTCGGGTTTCTATGGAGGTCTCTTCAAGGTGTGGGGACTACTCAAAAAAGAGAAACCAGAGTGCTGTGGCTCACTGTTCTGGCTCCTCAGAGAGCCGGTGGTCCGTGGATCTCGGTTTGTGTGTGGAGTAGGGCCTTCTCTACAACAGAGACTCTGTGAGGAGAGGATCCTCACGCTGGGCCAGGTGGTGGAGGTGTGTGGCCCCCGTCTGGACAACGCTGCAGGCCTGGCCTCACGTCTGAGCCTCAGGTCAGTCCGGGTGGTCAGCCTCCTGCTGCAGAGCTGGAAGCAGCAGCTCAGCCAGTCAGAGCTGGCGCTGATCGCTGCTCACTGTAACGGACTGAAGTCTCCAAATGACAATGACTCTTTTCCAGAGACGCAATGTTTTCCTGATCTCAGTTGTGAGGGTTTTTTGTTAAAGTTGGACAATTTTACTGATTTTAGGTTTAGCAACATGTCCAACAAAACATTTTATTATTTGGTGACAAAGGTGCTGAATCAGAGCAGACTCCAGGAGCGAGTGGACACCCGGTGGAGAGCCCACCTGGGCCTGACGGAGGCTCAGAGGCCTGAGTGGAGAGCGCTCTACAAGCCTCCGCTGACTAAGAGGGGTGGGGACCTCCAGTGGAGGATTCTCCACGCTGCGGTAGCTGTAAATGCGTTTGTTTCAGTGATCAACCCTACAGTGTCTGACGCCTGTCCTTTCTGTGAACAGAGGGGAACCATTTTTCATTGCTTTACGGAATGTGGTCGACTCCTTTGTCTTTTTCAGTTACTCACTCAGTTGTTTATTTTGTTTAATGTGGTTTTTTCTAAGTCTATGTTCATTTTGGGTTGTAGGTACAGCCAGAAGCAAAAGTGCAAAAGTCAGCTTTTGAATTTTTTATTGGGGCAGGCTAAAATGGCCATTTACCTCAGCAGGAGGAATAAAGTTGCGTGATCATTGGATACCGATGCAGTTTCGATTTTCAAGCGGATGGTTAAAGCAAGACTGAAAGCGGACTACGGTTACTTTTGCTTAACAAAAAATGTGGGAGAATTTGAGGCCATGTGGTGCTTTAAAAATGCTTTGTGTTCTGTGGAGAATGAGGATCTTATTTTCAGTCGTTGTCTGAACTGACAATGTGTGTCAATGTGTCCGTTTGGTTATTTGCTTTGTGAATAAAAGTGGGGGGGGTGCAGGGGTACAGTGCTACCCCCTGCCTGGGGGTGGACCGAACATCCTTTAGGGGGGTCGTCGCCTCCTCTTGGGGGGTCCGGTGGCATGTGCCCCCGGGAAGATTTGTTTTTAAATATTGAAGTTGAAAGCATCAATCTGGTGCACTTTGAGAGCAACATTAACCCTACCTTAATAACACCTTAAAGCGGACAAAAGGCACTGGAGAACACTCATTAACACCCTTTAATGAAGCAAACTAATGCCTTCACTCACTCAAATAGTCGTTTACTTATTAAGGTGAAACGAATGTGCATAGAGTTTTAAAGGATGCGGATAGTCTCACCTTGATTCTGGCGCATTTCTTATCGTTTTATAGATCTATTCTCATCCACCATCTTTGTTTGTGACGTAAAACATTTGTAAGAGTCACGTTTCTGAATCGGACACTCTGAGTGGATGCAGTCACAGCCAATCGGAGTCTGATTCAGAGGGTTGCCTGTCAGTTCCGTTGTTATGTGTACTGAAACGAGAGCCGGTATAATTCCACGCGCGAAAACAAAATAAAAAATTGGAATACGTTATTTTAGTGTCTTAAAAGTAGACTGAGGTATGAAGGGTTAACGTTACATCTTAGGATAACTTTTAGTCATGTTCTGTATACATACTAACATATAAGGGTATACTTAGTGTAAGAGAATATTTTAATCCGATCTTGATTGTATAGAGTTTCTCAGCTTTTCTTAGAATCTGTCTTATTGCAAACATGCTTTTCGTTAGTCATATGATCATCTCTATAAGTTGAGGTCACAGGTCAAAAGCTTCTCTGCTTTTCCTGTGGGGGAGGGTTTCCTGTCCCCATGCATTTGCGAGACAAACAGACCTTTGTCCCGACATCTGGCATTGATTAGGTAAAGCGCGGGTTCTGTGGTTCCGCCTCTTCTCATGTTGGTGCGCGGTGTCTCCCCTTTTTGTTCAGAGATGACTTGGTGGCTGCACGGCGGCTGTATTAATTGTACTCTTTAATAAACTCTCAGTGTTTTGGCTAACGACGACCCAGACTCCATCATTTCACCTCAACATTGCTACACAGAAGTTTTCCTCACACTTAGTGTGGTTACTCCATGTTTACTAGCTATAACATTAACGTCACATCACTCTTTTTCACTTCTTACTCAGTCAGCCAGAGTGCAGATATCACCATTAGATTCACAAACCTGAAATATCATCAATTTCTTCACTGCTGGTGATGACATTGTTGTCAGCTGCTGATACTGCTGCAGCTTGTGGCGCCTGCTTCGATGACAATAACTTTCTAATATCCATAACTGTATAGGCCATTAGCTTAAAACTTGTTAGGCACTAGGAAGGTTCACTTCTACTTCAGGGCAGGCTACGCAGTACGCAGGCTAATGTCCCGCAGCGGATGCCTCTCTGGTGGACTCCGGTACTGCACATTACTCCCGAGACGTTTTTTTAATTTTTTTAAGTGAAACATCCGGGGCTTTTCAGAAAACATCCGGGGCTTGAGCCCAAGTAGCCACCCCCTAGCGCCGCCTCTGATGCAGACGTTCGGCAATGATTGAGAGGACGCCGCTGGATCCAGAGTGAATTTCTGTCGAACATTAAACCTAAAACTATGGGCATAGATATGTCTCATAATTATTTGTGTGAACATAAAAATAATTTGTGTGTAAATATGTGATTTGTAAATGTAAAACAACATCCACAAATGCATTTAAAAGATTTGCAAACTCACAAATACATTTGCAAGTGTAAAACGGATCTGCAAATACGCTAAATATGTTCACAAATTAAAAAAAGATCTGTGAATATCTCTTTAACATTTACACCTTTCGATCAGGCATTTGTGAATCCATTTTGTATTTGTGGACCAAAAATGCGCTTGCGGATCTCAAATCTCTGTTCACGGATCTCAAATCTCTGTTCGCGGATCGTCTTTTTACACACACGGAATTTTGAGACATATTTTCCGCCGGTCTCGGCTCAAATCTACTCGTGTCACTCGGTTATTTTCGGAAACCACGTGATGGCCTGCTGATGACGACATTTCCGCATGATTTCAAAGTAAGAGCATGATGGTTTGTTTAATGCTCTGTTTTTGTATTATAATGAACAGCGGAACGTTAGATGCATTCTTCATCACCATAACCCTGACCTAAATATGGTGCTTTTCTACAGATTACTTTATTACTGCACTGGTAAGGTAAAATTAGGCCGATTAATAAGATGTGAAGTGCTTTGTAACTTCGACCCGCTTGACTGAATACACAACAAACAATGAAGAAAGAGTTTTATCTGGGCTGTTTCGCTGCCAGCTGCTCCCCCGGGACCCGAAAGTGGCGTATAGCCTGCACTTCAACATCAACGAAAGTGCTCGATATATGCTATATTGAACCATTGAACCAAACTAACTGTATCACTATAACATGATGATGAAGAATGCATCTAACGTTCCGCTGTTCATCACGTGGTTTCCGAAAATAACCGAGTGACACGAGTAGATTTGAGCCGAGACCGGTGTCAGTACCAGATATGTTCGGGCTACCAGATATGTTCGGGTGTATTTCCGTCGCATCCGTCATATCCGTCATATACTCACCTCCCTCTGCTCCCAGCGCTCTGCTGCCACACACCGGCCGTCTGCGTAACTGCAGCCGGAGGAACTCGGGACAGCTTGTTATGTGTGGGGTGCTATGGTGGGGTCCCATGTACTTGTGCACATAAATAATGTTTCTAATTATTTACAATTAAAAAATATATATATTCTGCGTTACTTTAACCAACACTTTTATAAGGCCACTAGATTAGATAATTACGAAATGTGTAGATAGAATACATATATTTCAGATTGTTATTTTGTCATTATGTTTAATGTTTTATTTACCTTTTAGTATTTTTATATAGTATCTGAACTTTGGAAAGGAGTTGGGAGACACACGACACCTCAAATCACATCTACAGATCAAGGCGAAGCGAATGGATGTACTCCCATACTCCTAGCGTGAAAATGTTTGTGAAAACGTGTGCAAAGTCTCCGAAAATCCTAAAAATAAGCTCATATTTGAATTCCCCATAAAAAAACACATCATTCAGTAAAAACAAGGCCCCACTGATCATCTACTCTCTGAGACTATTCCATGGATGTCTGGCTTGAGTTTCGGCCACCAGGGAAAGTGGACAAAAGTGCCCGAGATCAGCCTCTTAATTTACCCAGGGCCTAGTGCTTGGCTTTGGGCATGAAAATTCAGGAAACTCCCCTGAGTATTTTATTAAATATCTGAACTTTGGAGAGGAGTTGGGGGACACACGACACATCAAATCACATCTACAGATCAAGACGAAGCTATTGGAAGTACTCCTAGCGTGTGAAAATGTTTGTGAAAAACGTGTGCAAAGTCTCCGAAAACGGAGCAGTGGCTGTGATGCTAGCTTTGCGGCTAGCGGTTAGTTGTTATTGTTTGAAGTTGTTGCTATGGAAACAACATGACGGAGAACAAATTAATATCTTCTACATATAATAACGGACAAAGTAAAGAATGAAGTGTAGGCTATGCCTGTTTGAAGTTGTTGCTATGGAAACAACATGACGGAGAAAAAGTATAATCTTCTACATATAATAACGGACAAAGTAAAGAATGAAGTGTCGGCTTTGTTTAAATGTTCGGAATTTGACCGTGTTTGTTGGCCCTCTTGAGTTGCCGTACAATCCGTCATATGACGGATAACGGATGCGACGGAAATACACCCGAACATATCTGGTAGCCCGAACATATCTGGTACTGACACCGGCGGAAAATATGTCTCAAAATTCCGTGTGTGTAAAAAGACGATCCGCGAACAGAGATTTGAGATCCATGAACAGAGATTTGAGATCCGCAAGCGCATTTTTGGTCCACAAATACAAAATGGATTCACAAATGCCTGATCGAAAGGTGTAAATGTTAAAGAGATATTCACAGATCTTTTTTTAATTTGTGAACATATTTAGCGTATTTGCAGATCCGTTTTACACTTGCAAATGTATTTGTGAGTTTGCAAATCTTTTAAATGCATTTGTGGATGTTGTTTTACATTTACAAATCACATATTACACACAAATTATTTTTATGTTCACACAAATAATTATGAGACATATCTATGCCCATATACAACTAACTTCACCGCGGTGTTATATATCCTTTATTTAACCAGGTAAAATACTAATTGAGATTAAAAATCTCTTTTCCAAGAGTGACCTGGCCAAGAAGGGCAGCATGCACGAAGTTACAACAGATAAAACACAGACAAGACAGGCAGACAAATACAGCTGTGTGTTGAGAACAACATCTCCCTTTAACTTGTTCAATTGAAGTTTTAGCATGTTTAGGTAACATGCACTCGCCTGTCCTGCTTTCATAACAGACATTTGAACTAACCACGGATTTATGCGGCTTCGTTGCAGTCATAATGAGTTCTGTAGTAGAGAAACACAGGAATGGATATGTGCCTGTATTTGTTGTTTTTACACACAATCACTGAACACTGCGTTAGAAAGTGCTGAGTCATGTTGGTGGCAGACATGTTCCGGTTATACAACGTTGGCGGAAATCTGCTCAAGCTCCTATTTATGTAATGTCTCGCTTTGGCACGTCTACCACCCAGAGACTTACATTTTTCTTGGAGTGTGGGAGTGTGAAGTGTTATCGATGTGTATGTAGCACATGACAACTCGCCTTTGCCACCTGTTGCTTGGCAAACGAGTTATAGCAGCGCTAAGCGGTTTGTTTACAAGAACCAGTTAGTTATAATCACCATCCACTCAACATTTAATTCATAAAAAAACATGTTATATGGCCACAATGGATCTGAAAAGGTCTTCCACCTTGTTATGTAAGCAGACTATTATTATTTGTCTCAGTCACTGATTTTTAAAAATGTTTTAGTTTGCAAGATAAGTTTTCTGTCATCATTAATTAATTGCAAGACCCACCTCAGCTCTTGGCCCATCTGGATCCCTGCAACAGGCAAACAGCTTCTTCAGTGGTCGGGGGGCCTCCACTATTTGCTTCACCATCTCCAGGCCCAGGCCTCGGTTGGCCCCTGTGATGAGCACGCTGACTGATAGAGCTGCCATTGCCTGCGACTCAGCTTGCACAATTCTCCCTCTGAGCGCGTGCATACACATCCCTACAAAAGTGTTGGTCTGGCCACACCCACTACATCCCCTTCTTGAAAAAGTGGGCGAGTAACTTTGATAATTCAGGCTTGTGTTAGCCTCACTTGGATGTAAAGCCTTGCCAGAAATAAACATATTTCCATCAGGCAATATTATACTCAATGAAAGCAAAGAAGCATAATGGGGAACATTGTGGAACGTTAAAAATGAAGCTACTGTAAGAGTGCAAAGCAACACAAAGAGCAAAGGGCCAAATAAAAACAAAGTGAGCACTCCCAACACCCAACAGTGTACACAGAGAGAGTGTTAGATCAGGGGTGTCCAAACTATGGCCCGGGGGCAAAATGTGGCCCGTTGTTGTAGTGGCAATTTCTTATGTTACCTGGTAAAACCAAATGCAACGCTTATATGATGACACTGTACTCAGTACATGTCCCTTGCTCGACCTTTTGTTATGCTTGGGTGTCAGACACCATCGCACCCAGATGTTTCCTGTCACTATCACACTTGTACAGTTCCTGTTCCACACACACACAGTTCCCTCTGTGTGCAACTTATGCAGACTGCTCTGTACTCTGTGTAACCTGTACCTTCAAGCTTGAATAAAGACCACAAAGACAACTCTGTTTGATTGCTGAAGACCATCTTTATTTTGATTATTATTATTATTACCATTACATCTCCGGATCGTTGACGAGTTAAAGTTTCCACAACATTGTCCATTTTGAATTGGCCCTCAGCGAATTCAAAAAGTATAATCGAATTATATGGCCCACACCTGAAACTTGTGTTCTTCTTGTATTATACGTCCTAAATATATATGTAGACATTCAGTCAATTACATTTAAATGTTCTAACAAATCTTAGTTGATACAAAAAAATCATTTGCACAACAAGTTTTAAACATAATGTCCCCTTATTATAATGGCTTCTGTTTTAAGGAACGAGCTGCTAACATTTTTGTAAGAAAATAAATGAAACCCTATGGACAGCTGGGATGTAAGCTGTTTTTTTTCTTAAAGTATAATCAAGTTTGGAGCATAATTTACCCACATTTGATTGATTTTTTTAACCTATAACTTAACTTAACATATGAGGCAATATACCTCACCTCAAATGAGTGGCCCAGCCTTTCATATTTCTGTGTGTGGCCCTCAGTGAAAAAAGTTTGGACCCCCTGTGTTAAGTCATTGATATAACACAACTGAAGAAATATGGATTAAAATGAGGAATGTGATATCACGTGCTTACCAGGGCCAGCGTTACCTTCCTGACCCACAACGCCTCTGGAAAAGCAATGTGAGAATCTTTTTCTTTGACTTCTCCAGTGCTTTCATCCAGCTGTCCCTCCTGCAGGGGAGAAGCTTCTGGCAATGTAGCTGCACACTGACAGTGTCATGGGTTCAGGAGTGGGCGGCCATGACTGATCCAAGCCACCCTAGAACTCATTTGACCCGCTCTACATCGAGCTGTGGCAGCACTTTCAGCTGGCGGCTCATTCCACTATGATGCAAAATGTAGAGCATCAGGCTCATTTGTGCACGGTCATCAGACGGCAGACAGCAGTGGAGACAGCAGCCTATCTTTTGTACTGATAATAAACCAATTTAACTTCATTTGGTTCTATAATCTTCTTAATCTATTTATCTGTATGCATTTCTATTTTTGTGCAGCAGCATCAATGGAAATTCCCCTCAGGGGTCAATAAAGCCTTATCTAGTCTTGTGTTGAAGTATTGTGTGGTCTTTGGTTAGCCTGGGGACATTACAATAAAGGAAATGGAGCCATTTGCGGTGAGTCATTCACAGTGTTGATATAACAGAGCAAAAATAGCTCAGAAACATGAGCTTTATGAACCAGACAAAAGACATATTGTGTCAGGTCAGTCAACTGATTCATTGAAAACTAAAAATGATGTAATTATGAAACTAATGAGTGAAATTGTGCAAAGACATTCAGGTTGAAGTGGCACAAATTGACACCCGAACTGCAATAAAGTGATGGCAAGCTATAATGACTGACTTTAATTTATACATATTTTCATCTGTTATACTGGCACTAAAGCTAGAGCAGTGAAGTTGGCGGGTTAGCAGGTTAGCATGCCCACCACATGGCTGCACCGTTTCTCTGAGAAACGGTACAATCTGAATTTCTGACAAAAAAGTAACATACCTTGGTAAACAAATGACTTAAATGTCAATTCTAACAAATGATGTATTTTGATTTAACATATGAATCACAGGTTATTTAAAAACATCTGATTCAAGGTATATAAAAAGCAGATTGATATCACTTGAATGGTATATTTTTTACTTGTTTTCAGAAAAAGGAAATTAAGTCTGAAAAAAAACAATTATTTCATTGATTTCAATTCTAATTAGAAAATAAATAACATGGACATTTATTATACAATAAATACAGCAACTATTGAATTGTAAAGCTTATAAATTGGCTTTAAAACATAGAACTTAAACACCTTTGCCACCGCCCCCCCCGCCCAAAAAAGTAACATTATAAGCTTCACAAAGAGGTATTTATTGCAGGGTTATTGTACTTAATGGCATTATGTTATGGTAGCCTATTTGTACCTGTGTTTCTATCCATCTCCTGCCTCTCTAACATGCATGTCAGGAAAAGCAAGCTGTTGGTAACGCTGACTCACAGAAGCAGGGAGGGTGGGACTTTGAGAAACAACAGGTAAACAAAAAACATAGGAAAAAGTATGTTTCAAGAGAACTCACATAACTGAAGTGAAAACATACTGAGGACAGCGATGTGTCTGAATGCCCTGCACTGACGACGCATGCTGACTATCTACTTAAGTCAGAGACTGGTGCTCTTTGGATTGCTCCGCTGCTGGTGAGTGTAAAACCTAGGTGTGCCTTTGACTGCGAAAGCGACAGGAAAAACGTTGCAAAAAGGCTTTATGAAGACCACAAAATAAAAAGGGGTTGTGTGCATTGTAGTGTCACTTTCAAATACGGCCAAACAGCATTACGTCTGACAAAACACACCTACGACACAGAAGGACACAAAAATATATCCCTTGACTTCCATTTGGCAGCAGTACCTCTCACATTGGCAGTATCTTGCTCTTGATCCATAAGCACACATACACATTCATTCACACACTGGCACATACATACAGTACACAGACACACTGCACATACATGATGCAGTACATTACATGCACATAAACAGATATAAATACATACAGTTTTTCATTAAATGCACTTCTGTGTCCGCAGCTTTCCACATTCAAAATAGAAAGGTGCATAAATAAAACATTCCAATCATTATAGAAAAGGTCCATGCAAGACTGGCACCTATCAGTCCACCGAGGCGGAAAATATGAGGGCTTCTCCATTCCCTCTCCATCTCTTGATTCTCTGTAAACTGTGTTGTTGTGTCTCCTCTCTCTGGCAGTGTTCGACACATTATTTGTTTGTTTTTGTCCCTCACAGATGGGTGCTGTCCTGCGTATCGAACCTGTCGCTCTCCGAGATCCCTGCGCTGCACTTCCTGCTACTACCCTGATTGGGTACGAGTGAGAGCGGGTCTGGTCTGATCAGGTATCTGCAGGTGGGGCACAGACAATTGAATCCTGTCACACTTCTCCTTCTGTGTTCATTTTACAGCACTTTCAATTACATTTGTGTACTTACACAACGTCGTGGAGCTCCAGTCTGGTGTCTGGAGAAGGGTTGATGAGGATGTAGGAATGTCTGTTCCCCTGGTCTGTCATCCCATCTGACACAGGAAAAAGAAGAGGTGAGTGATGCAGGAAATAAAATAGGAACAGGGTAAACAGCAAGCTGTGCACACATCCGTGACTCTTTTGTTACTGGTTTATTCAAAACACAGGAGGACACATTTAGGTAAACATTTACAAAAGCAGCAGCATTATCAGAGATGGAGGAAGTAGATCATTTCCTTAAGTAAAAGCACAAATACAACAATGTCAAAAATATTACATTTTTCAGTTTTGTTCTGAAATGTAGTAATATAAGGGAGCATGCTCAACTCTCTGACTGCTTTTTTCACAATTTTGCACAGCCCTCCACCTTAAGATATAATACACTGTAGTTTGCTTGTTTTAGTTTTTAGTTTTTTAAGCTGTTAAGGTTATTTGTATTGTTACATTTAAAGCTGGTGTGCATACTTGTCTTTAGCATCATTTTTTAATGCAAAATTATTTCTTAAAAATACTTTGTTTTTATTATCCTTTTATATTTCTTTTTTTTTTACCTACTTTGCAACTTATTTTTTCAGATTGTTTATGTTCGCACCACCAGACATCAAGCAAATTCCTTGTATGTGTAAACGTACCTGGCAATAAACTTGATTCTGATTCTGAAATACTCTGAACAATATTACGGTAAAATACCAGTCCCTCAAAATTGTGCTTAAGTACAATACCGGTGAACTTGAGATCAGGAGCAGGAAACTTTAATACACAAATATTGTCTTACTGTATCCGGTTGGAGAAAGGCCCAGGTGTTTCATCCTCGTCTTCACCAGAGCGTTGAGCTCCTGCCTCTCGGAGCGTCTGAACAGGGTCAGTCTCTGCTGGTTGATCCTCTCTGCCGCGCTGCCCGGACCCCCCTTGGCCCCACTGGAGCCCCGCCCCCCCTTTCTGCTCAGCCGCCGGGCCCACTGCATGCTTTTCCTCCTGAGCAGAGGGTGGTCTGAGGAGTGGGAGGAGGTGGAGACGGGCTCCGAGGAGGTGGAGTTACGGTGAGCGCTGGTCCGGGACAGCAGGGGCTCTCTGGGTTCCCTCGTATCTTCATAGTCCTCCACTGTGATGGATACCTGGGACTGGGACACACAAAAATAACTACATAGCAACATCACACACAACCAGACCTTTCATTTCCTTTCTCAAAAATAAAGATAAATGTAATTTCTTAAAGCCCTATTATGCTTTTGGGGGTTTTCCCTTTCGTGTAGTGTGGTGTATGGATGTGCAAGTTAATGGTCTTCAAAGGCTCAAACCCCAAAGTTCTCCCCCCACTGCCTGACATGCCTCGAATGTAGTCCTTTGTTTATTTCTGTAATATAGTGACATCACTATGTTGCACTTGCGCTTCTATTGGCTAGCGCTCCAACACATTGTCCATTATAGGCTAATCAGTTGACCAATCACAACAGAGATGGCAGCTAACCAATCAAATGCCATGCTTACTTTTTCTTTAAACAATGATCACGTTCCACGTGGAAAAAGTTGTGACCTTGTGACTTTAAGCCTAGCTTTTGGCAGGGTTAAATATTGTACCAAAATCATTAATGTTTTGTTTTGCACTCCAACTTAAGCTTGTTATTTTAAGTGTCTTGCTTAGCTGAGCAGCGGCGGTAGGTTCGGTGCCATTGGTCTGCTGCACCGCCCTCCCTGAGACAGAAAAGTAGGCCACACAACTAGTAATAGCAGCCCCTTACTTCAGAGACTGGAAGCTTGTGTGCCTCTGTGCGGTAGATGCCGATGGGAATGTCTCCAGTGGAGGAGCACAGTTTCTGGTAGAGCCTGCCGTAGGTGCGGATCCACAGGTCGTCCTCTGTGATTTTCATCTAAAAAAACAAACAAGACAATATTCTGCCTCAGAGACACTTCACAAACCAAACAAACAGAATCCAAGGCATTTGGGTGCCGGTACTTACAGCACAAAGGAAACCTGAGCCAGGCATGGAGTCCAAACCCAGCAGCAGCCTGGTGATGGAGATCATGTAGTCCTTCACAAATGACTTGCAGCACAAGTCAGAAGAAATAGATCAGATTTGGCATGCTCACACATTTAGTTTTTTTAGTCAGAGTCAGGGATTTTCTGTTTGAGATACCTGGTAAAGGAGAGTGTCCAGCATGCTGACACTGAACACCTTCCCTGCAGAGAAGGGCAGGCGGAACATAAACACCAGGTTGGAGCCCTTCTCCCTTTCCTTCTACAGATTAATCACACACACACACACACACACACACACACACCACACACACCCACCACACACACACACACACACACACACACACACACCACACACACACCACACACACACACACACACACACACACACACACACACACACACACAACACACACACACACACACACACACACACACAACACACACACACCACACACACACAACACACACAACACAACACACACACAAGATGTTCACCCGATTACACTAGTCATGGTTGAAGTTACTTAAAATCTGACATTTATTGTGAGACTTATAAAACATGTATCTTGTTAGAAGTAACTTACTAGCATTTTTTTTAAAGAGGGAAAATCCCAAGGGAAACTTAAACAAGCATGCACTGTTCAAACAGCAAGAAGAAAAAGCTGTAATTCACCGGATATCCTTTACGCTGTAGGGCAACACTGCTGGAAATCTAATAACATCTATTTATAATGATCCCAGAGTGAAATCCATTTTAATACTTGATGTCCTGCAAGGACACATTTACTCATTCTTTGATAAATGATATTGAGGCTTGGTGGGAAATTCATTAGCTGCCACACAGAGAGCAACATTAACAACAATTCGAAATTAAAAAGGCTATCAATCAATTAATAGGATACGGCTGTAATAGGCCTAAGGCCTTTTAGTCGCTCATAAATAAATAAATAGATCACTGATTCTTTATTTACTATGGATGCTGGCAACAGTCACATAGTCCAAAGTGAAGGTGATGTTTGACCAGTAATGGTCGAGGCGGGATTTGAGACAGTTAACCGTCTTGGATGTGACAACGCTTTCTGGCAGATCATTCCACAAGTCAACCACACGCAGGCTGAAAAAGTTGCTATAATCAGTAACAAATGTATACTGCAATACACTATCCTACTTTTTCTGAAGTCTGGGTCGAGGTAAATGAATAATAGTGCTTTAGAAAGTATTAAGCTTTTACCTTTTCCAGTTTGGACAGGGCCAGAGAGTAGTGGTCTTTGACTTTGAACTGCATAAATCGCATGTTGGCTGGGTGGGTTAGCTCTGTGATGATACTAAGAGCTGGGAACAGTCTGGAAGGTAAAAGCACAGACAGAGAGACAAAATGGATTAAAAAAAACACACAACAATATAAACACAGAATGTTAGATTGTAAAGCAAACAAAGCAGACCTGAACAGTGTCTGGACATTCACAATGGTCTTTGCATCAGCCATGTAATCCTCCTCTGCAATCATTGAGCTCTCCTTGTCTACCACTACCATCGTGTCAGCAAAAGTGACTCCGCATCGCAGCAAACTGTCCAGACTGTGGAGAGAAAATCAAAGAGTACAGGAAAGGCATTCGAGAGGTGAAAAGCACTTACATGAATAAAGATTAAGGAAATAGATCAGTGTGTAGCTTTGTCTCACTTGTCGATGGAGCCCACTGTGTAGAACACCATGGGGAACCAACAGATTGCCTCCAGGAAGTCTGCTTCAGGTCTGTAGCGATCAGAAAACAAATAGATTCGAGATTCCTAGAGATTTGTACGTGGCATGATGAAGAGCGAACGTCCCCTCAGAGACAGACCCCCGTCACTCAGACTGAGAAATACAACACAGCCTGCAGAGAGAGCTGAAGACAGTCTATAACAGCAGTAGACTGGAGTGACTCAGCATTTTATTGCCTTTTTATTGGATTCCACTCTCATTTGGCTGACGGTGTTTGTGTACCAGCCACAATACAAGACCCAGGTTTGCGAAGTGCATTGTCCTGAAGCATTCAGCATTTCACAAATCATGTTTACTATGAACCTAAATAGCTCAGTGTTTCTCCTGAACTGGCTATGTAAGCAGGAACTTTTCTTTTTCTATCCTGCACAACCTACATTTGTAGCTGTTGCAGTCACAGCAACAGTTTTGTGTAACTCGTTCATCATGGAACGCATTTAGTTTGAAGCTGTGGAACAACAGGGCAACTGTGGCTGCGAGGGAGTGCGGTCGTCTTTCAACCAGAAGGTTGTGGGTTCCATCCCAGCCCATGCAGTCAACATGTCGGTGTATCCTTGGGCAAGATACTTAACCCTGAGTTGCTCCCGATGGCATGGCCAACGGTGTGTGCATGTTGTATGCATGTTAGGTCCTAGAGTAACATACACTGCTCTGTATGACTGGGTGTGAATGGGTGAAAGACATGTAGTATGTAAAGCGCTTTGAGGGGTCTTAAAGACTGGATAAAGCGCTATATAAGTACAGTCCATTTACCAATTAATGACATAAATGTGATCTTACATGCTCTCCAGCAGCAGCACAATGGGGTTGAGCTCCTTCCTGGGTCGATAGTAGGCCCGTAGAGGCACAATGAAGTTGTACAGTCCGTTTCCTGCACTCTCCGCAGACACAATGATCAATTTGTTTTTGAAGCCATAGCAGCGGGCATCCTCAAAAAGGGTGTGGTGGCAAGCCTAGGAGAGAAGCAGAGTAGTCATGGGGGATAACAGCAATGTGAATTTAGATAGAAAGAAGATAGCAAGCCATGTAAATCCCACACTTTACAGGGAAAAATTCCTGCCGACTGCAATAAAACTGTATAACAAATCACCTCTGGCCGGCAGAGAACTCTCTGCTCCATGGCTTCTCTGGATAACTGGACTTAAACTCCCACTGTACATTTTACATTTATATTCAATCTGATATTTAATAATCCATTCCTTGCACAATTAATGTATATATAATATCCTGCTTTACATTTTGTTACTGTACATTTGTATTTCCACATGTATATTTTTTACTTTTTTAATACTATTTTACTTCTATTTGAGATGTTTACATTTTGGATTGTTTATTTCTAGTCTTTTAATGTACAATGCCTTGTCTTTTTATGCTGCTGCAACGCAAACATTTTCCAAATTGGGATCAACAAAGTACTTCTTATCTTATCTTCAGAATCAGAAACAGGTTTATTACCAGGTAGGTTTACTCGTACGAGGAATTTGACTTGATGTCGTGGTGCATACATAAAAGTAAAACAAGAATTAAAAACACAGGTAGAGAACTAGAAAAATATTAAAAGATATAGTAAAATATAACATTATTTACATTGCAATGGAATGGAATAAAAAGGAATAAAATATGGAATAGAAAAGAAAAATAAGAAAACAGATATTGTTGTACATTGTGTGCATTAATGTAATGCATACAGTCTATGGTCTTTATCTTACCTTGTCCATGCGCAGGCAGCAGAAAGGCATCTTTTCCTGAAGAAGGTGGCACAACGCAGGCGAGCTGCCGATGTACGGAGAGTTTAGGGGATATCCCTTCACCCACCTGTAGCACAAGCCCACAGTTACCTCCAAACTAGTTTACACTTCCCTGATGTAAATACAAACAGCATCTTCCTGACTTACTCGCAGTGTCGACCCCACCAGTGGGCGCTCTCGTCTCTGTCACTGTCCTCCTTGCCCTCTTCCCCTCCCTCGTCCTCTGACTGGTCTCCGAGCAGGTCGAAGGTGGGGTTGTTGACACCGTCCACAAGCTCCAGGACGGGGGCGATGCTGTGCCGCCTTTCCTCCGCTGACTCTCCCATGGCAGGCAGGGCCAAAGTGTTAGCACCACCCATCTCCGCCCTGCTTCTGCTTCCTCTCCCGCTTCCCAGCACGGTGCCCCCAGGATCCTGGCTCTCTGGGCTGCTGTCACTGGAGTCCTGCAGGTCGATGGCCACTGTGCCTGTAACACACACACACACACACACACACACACACACACACACACACACACACACACACACACACACACACACACACATCACACACACACACACACACACACACACACACACACACACACACACACACACACACACACACACCACACACACACACACACACACACACACACCACACACACACACACACACACACACACACACACACACACACACACACACACACACACACACACACACACACACTTTAATTAGATGGCGTTGTCATATGAAATTCTAAAAACATAGACCGTGCTTGTACCTGTTAAAATAAAGCGGAGCTCTTAACCCACTCAGAGTGTCACAAACACCCTTAGGAGGTAGAAGGGCGTTTGTGACGCTATACTGTTTTTAGAATTTCACCATGAAATAGCCATCTGGTTAGGAGCTTTTAAACATGTTGCTAGATGAGTGGATTTAAGGACCTTACTTCCTTTTCAAACCCTTCCCAACCAAAGCAAACCTTTATTATAATTCCAACATCAAGGACCCTTTTTTTCTACTATACATGATGTGTTTGCACAGTCCCTGATCGTGGATACTGTGGTGAGAGCATTGAGGAATAGTGAGCTATACAGTATCACTGTTGTCCACCAGGTGGTGTGTGTATACTGACAGTTCAGTTCATTTGGTTGTTGTTTTTTTAGATTATTATTTGGCCACCAGTGCCTTTATTATAGAAGCAGATTTAAAATGGGGAGAAAAAAGGAGATGACACTCTGAAATGGTCTGAGTGAATCCTAGGCCTTGAGCTCTGCTAGGTTAGCTATCAAGCGGCCCCATTTAGGGGTTCTTATCAAGTGACATATCAAGTGTTGCTTATGATCAGATACATGTGAATTCATCAGAAAAGCTGTGCATATATTTAACCAAGATAGCTTGTGTGAGAACTGCGTAATTCTGAAAGCTGTGAATGTGCTGCTGCAGCTGACAGTTTGATGACAGGTTTGCGTGTTTGACCAACACATACTGCAAACAGAAGGCCAGTGTGTAAACGTTACACAGTCTTTGCGGCGTGCATTTCAGACTGACCCATGCTGGCGATGATACTGTGGACTGGCAGGCGTGTGAGTCCGTGGTAGATGGATTGGTGCACCCCCCTGGGATTTCCTCGAGTTCTGCCCCACGATGGCTCCTTGTGGCCCCTGACGAATGCTGAGTTCTCCTCTTTGGAGATATTGATGTAGAAGCATGTGTCAGAGGCCCCCATGATGTGGCAGGGCCCAGGGTTCAGCAAGATGTTGGTGGTTTCCAATCTGCGAACTCCAATCAAACATACTCCATACCTATAAAAAAGACAAGGTCAGATCTGAACAGTGCGGGGGGGTTTTGAGTTCTCATTTTTGGGACTTTTCACAAAATATAACTTACTTTTTGTGAGCATGAAAGGAGGCAAAGGTGAAACTCTTGCCCTGGTATTCTCCAAAGAATTTACTTTCCTCTAGACGGATGTGATGCACCTCATTGGCTGAGCAGCGGCGGTAGGTTCGGTGCCATTGGTCTGCTGCACATGCACCGCCCTCCCTGAGACAGAAAAGTAGGATTGATTGGCCACGTGGGGAAAGAATGAACTTTAAAACTTGTAACACAAAGCGTCTAGCTCAGCACCAGGGCAACATGAGGAGATATTTCACCTGAGGTCTCAGAGGTAAGATCTTAAATCTCTGTCAGAGCTACTGATCAATACTTCAATCAGGACACACAAGGACAGCCAACCTGTCTAAACAATAGCTCCCAAATGTACACATTCACACAGTTAAGTGGACACATTTTTCTCCTAGGGATACATCTTTAGATGTGGAGGCTAAAAAGGTGATAGCATAAAGCAAGGGTGTGGGGGCAGTGTGAATGTGGGTGGCCTGCGACAAAGACGGCATTATATAAACAAGTGTTATAGCGATTTTGCAGTTTACAGGAACTACTGTAAGTGTAAGGCTGGAGAGGAGGAGGGAGCATCATGTAGCACTGTCACAGCCAATAAACCAAATGGCAACAAATCCAGATATAGAAGCATACTTATGAAATACATTGCTTTTGAAAGTACAACTCATCAGACACAAGAGTGCTTGACATTGAACTTCTTTAATATTCATATTTTTTTGATGCAATCAAAGAGATTGTCATTGTTATTTTGAAGATATCTACTGCACTCAAAGGAATACAAAAATATAATCTGTTTATCAATTACTCATCAAGGTTTTACCTTGAATATCTTGATGAAAGAAGTAAATTACCAAAACATTTCTTTGCATATTCAATGTAAAACCCACTGAGTTATTGAAATACAAACGGTGTTTAAATATTTTAAACTAGTACCATCATAATCACTTATCATCATATCACCCCATAATGATACAAATAAATTAAGTAAAATATTGTGTATTGAGCAATTTGCCCCTGATCACATTGGGATTTTTTTGTGCAGGATTTAAGCATTAAACTGTAACATATAAGAAAAAGTCAAAATACAACAACATGTTTCTTAATAACACAATTAACCTCCACGAAGTAAATCTCCTCATGGAATAACAAAAGACAATGTGCAAATCTATGGAAGTGGACAGATGATTGGGGTGAATACAGATCAGATGAATCCTACCTGTTGAGGGCTTGAAAGGCTCCGGCACGCTGCTTGAAGACCTCTTGGGGAGCCATTCTGGAAAGCAAACACCAAAGTTGAGTGACATTGAGGAGACAATAAGCAGCTCAGTTCTGTTCACTGTATCTACTGCATATTTTACTGTCAAGTTAACAAAAAAAGAGGGATCGGGAGTCAGAAAGCAAGGGAACTTACTGCCCTCTGGAGGAGTGGATCAATAGAGTGATGAGTGTTGATGTACCAGGGCACACGCAGTTTAAAGCCAGCATGGCGTACTTAAACTCTTCTTCACACACCACATGATCTGCAGACACAGGAAACAAAAAGGGAAACGTATCGGAGGTCGGAAAATACAACCCTCACACTCTACTTCCATGATAGTTTCAACTCTGAGTCCAACAACGCTGCCTTGAATACAACTGGCTGCTCAAATAAAGACATCCCTAGCATTTGTAAGTGTGTTCTTGATCCATGGTGATATTTAGCTTTGCAAATGTACATCACTGGAGATTATGCTTCCACCCTTCTCAAGAGAGTGAACTAAATGTCATCTTTAGCTCTAAGAAGGTCTCATCTATTATGTTTTATTTCCACCAGGCATAAACCGAGGCTAGGGGGACCATGTATTTGGGTTGTGTGTGCATGTCTGTCTGTAGCTTATCTTGCATACTCTTGGAGCCAGCGGTCTTATAATATCTGTGCTCTGTTTGCTCAAGAACCTCTCTCAGCTATTCACTCATTTTAGAAAACATATTTGATTGTTTTATGTCATCACTGTCTGCTGATTCTTCAGGGGAGAGGGAGAACCACAGCGTGGCTAAGTGCAATAGTTGGTTAAAATCTAAAGTGTTCCCAAGCGTGTTGCCTCTAAATTGATTGTTTCAATCAAAAATGAAAGACATATAAGTGTGTTCTGATATAAAACAAGAGACAGCAGCTCAAGTTTATTTATCATAATTGTTGTTCTGGTTATATTCCCTCTTATTTAATCACTAGCTCAAACACACTTAATAGTGACACATCTTTTTGGAAAGAACATCCTGGTTATTCCCAACTGTGAACAGTACAATGTGTAAATAGGGCTGAAGAGTACCACTTAAAGACAAAAGCACAAACAATCAAACAATATATTTTATGTTAAATGAAACGTAGAACAAATGAGTCAAGCAGACAGTCGTGTCATCATCCTCTTGTACCAGCTGCTTGTTTACTCCCATGGGATCTTCTTAATGTTACTGTTGTGGCCCAACGCTCAGTTTTTGGGGATTAGATAGAAGAACAAGCACAAGCCAGTGATTTAGTGTCAGCCTTAAACCCCCTTTCAATCACATCATCCAAGACTAAACGCCTGTGAGCAAACCAAACCAAACGGAACAAACACAGATGACACTCCTTTCGTTTACCTGTTGCCGCACAGCCTCCTCTATGAAAGGAAAAACCAATAGAGCGATTCATGTTTGTAGTGAGCCAATCAGCATGTCGGGCACAGAGAGCTCCCATTTCCCCTGATGGGTAATCCTTGATTGCATTTTCTTTGCTTCCTTGTTTACCAACAATGTTTAGCTGGGTCAGAAAAGCAAATTATGTGCCTTTAATTAAGAAATAATTGCTGAAGAACGTCGGAGCCTGACATGAAGCATGCAACTCAATCAGCTGCCAACCGGAGAAACCTGAGAGCCCGATGACATGTAAATGCAATTTTTTGTAAATTGTGTGCCTGAATCTGAGCAGGTGAGAGACAATTACAGCTGCTGATTGTGGATCTTCTGCTAAAGTACCAATGTGCCTTTGGTTCAGAACAGGACATCATAATGCAACTCACACACAAAGCTTTTCAGATTGTGAGAAAGCAGCTTATACAGACCAATGGGCATCTCTAAGCGTGCAGAGTAAAACAAAAACAAATGTATGTCTCATCTTTGAGGCAACAGTGTTCATTATTGTCACGCACATTCCAATCTCTAGGTCTGCTACCATACACACACATCTCTAACTCACAAAGCGCACACACAGTAGTCACACACAGTAGTCACACACAAAATTGAGTCTTTTCTGCAATATCCAATTTTCAACATCCCTCGTGTGTTTCTGTTAACCACTGTGATGCCTTCACTTCCCATCTTCTCCTCTGCTTACTGTTCAACGCCGCCCAGCATCCCATCCTCTATCCTTCAGATACCAGGACCCAGACCAGGAGAGAAACCAATTACAGACCTCGACATACTGTGCACACACACACCCACACACTCACATACATCCACAAGGTTTTAGTATACCCTCTTCAGAATCTCTTTCACAGACTGGTGTTAAAGGTGTGAGAAGATAAGTGTGGACATGCAGATGTTGGCCATTACAACTTGACCACAGGTCCAGTGGTTAAGTTAATTAATTCAGTTAGCTGTTATTGTTTGTACGAGTGTGCTGTTGTTGAACACGATGCCTGCTGCTGCAATAAGCCCACTTCAGGAGGGCAACAGGCTATTGTCATTCAGAACATAAACCGGGGAGACAATCGATTAACACCGCACCCCATTTTTTATGGTTAATCAAACGCCTCAGGGTTTCCTGCCCGGCTGCAACATTCTCCCGATCTTTCCCATTGAACGTTGAGCTGTTATTAAACCATTCCTGTGGATCAAATTAAATGTTTTTCCCTGGCTCATTAATGCCTCCCACACTAGCACTTAGCGGGTATATTCCAAGTGGTGTCAAAACATGGCATCCTTCTTAAAGTTATGTTCTAGTGACTACTTACATACTCGCTCCCAGAGTTTACTGAGATGACTTCAGGCTGAAGGTCAGTTGATTATAAACATTAGGTTTTGTGGTCTTAAAAGGAGTTACTTTTAACAGTCATGTATGGAATTTATCATCAGCACTGAAAGGCTGTTGGGGGCCACAAGGAGATGACTATTGACAATTTCATTAAAAAACACAATATTTCAAAATTCCTGCCCGACTTAACACATAAGCCTCAGTCTGGCTCTGGCAGTCAAGTGTGTAAAACAGCACTGCAGAGGCAAAGGAGGATTTCCTACGGGGAGAGCTCATCTGCCAGGTTAGCACAACAGCAGAACTCCCCCAAATAAGGGGATTGTCTTGGGCCGGGGAAGCAAAATGAAACGTTAATCATTGATAGAGACAGCTGGGAAGAGGGCGTCAAGCTAGAATTGGGTTCTCTAGGACTGTAGGCAGAGAGAGAGGAAACAGTGAGAGTGTGATTTCTTCTACGTGCCTTCAGATGATTGAATGGCTTCTTCTGTTGAGCAAGGGGGGGAATTCCAGCTGACAAACTCAGGCAGAAAAGAGGACATGACTAAATAAAAGAGCACACAGGACAACTTAGTTTCCAATGTTAACCTAATCACCCTTCTTTTAAAACACACAAACTGAGCAAAAGCACCTGTTGAACTGGGACAGGACACATTTGAGCATATGCATTATAATGCATTGAAATAACAGTAGTTGAATCCAAACAAGAATGGACATACTTTAAGCAAAGGAGTCACTGTCAGTGTTTGATTTCACACTCATGTGCCCACCTGCAAATTTGACGTGGAACTTGTTCTCCGGCTTGAGAATCTGGACGTACAAGGGGCAATTGGGAGCGAAGTCTTTCACCGCCCAGGCTCGGAGGATGGTCTGATGATCCTGAGAAAATGGGGATTGAGATGGATGGAGTGAAAAGTTGGGAGAGAGGAAAAGGGCAATGGAGAGTTAAAGAGTGGTAAACACACACAACTAACAGCATCGGATTCTTCCTAAAACACTGACTTCACAGAGCAACTCAACGGCCATTGTCAGATTTCAAAGTAATGCTATTCTAACATCTTTCTACAAAGAAGTGTTCAAGAATAGTGGCAAGCCCATAAAGAGTGAACTGAGTAACACTGGCCAGGATATAATTGTTGAGTATGTGTGAGGCTGTACTCTGTTATCTGAAAAGATAATGTCAGCACGCTATCATGCTCAAAGGGACAAGGATAACACGCTAATGTGTCTCTATGTTAACCATAGTCACATGCTGACAGTAATTACAATGTTTTCAAGGTTCTGAAGAATTGACACCTAATGTGGGTACAAGAAACAAAAATAAGGGGTCTCCAAAGGTATTACAATTCAGCTGCCAAATTATTCAGTGTACCAGGGTGTTAATTAAACCGTGTTAATTAAACCGTGTGATCACTATCATGGCAAGTAGTGTCGTGTAACATTGCACCTATAGATGTTTTTCACATGCATAGTGTGTATAGTTATGTCAAGCCTGTGTTTCCTTTACTCTCTGTTTCAGTCATTTTCACTCCAATAATCTTTTGGTAGAAAGCATCCAATGCAGAAGACTAAATCCAGTTGTTACCAAAGCTGCTTTAATGCGTAATTTTTTGTTTTCTAATTTATTTTAAGGCTTTTCTCAGGCAAGCAGCCCTACTATGGAAATGTTACATATAGGGAGTGATGGCAATACAGAGAAGCAGTGAGAAACGTACAGCAGCAATGCGGTCCACTTCAAACCGGTTGCTGAGGATAAAGCAGGCTTCAGCGTCGTCCATCCTGCAGGCAGTTAGAAAAAAGCATGTAGCCATGGGAGCGAGACATAGATAAATAGAGAGAAAGATAGAGAGAATTAGGGAAGCGTTGAGGAAAGAAGACATGGGAAGGAGGGAGTTGTCATGTTGTTGAGGGAGAGGACAAAAGAGAAAAAAGCAGGACAAAAGAACAACAAACAATCCAATCGATCTTTCAAGCCCACACTATTTAGGGTTGAGATGGAAGGAGGCAAGAAAACAGGGAGAGTCAAAAAACTAAACAATGTATTTTAGTCTTTCCCTATCACAAAGGTTCTGCTGCTGTATTACAAAAAGCCAGGAGGTAAACAATAAGCATTAGAACTCCAACTGTAATTAAAGCTATTATTATAAGGCTGTAGGCAATTAAGGCATTAATTATAAGCTCAAGCGTCTAAAAGTGGGGCCTTTTATTTCAAGGTAACAGGTCTGTTCTGGGGTTATTCAGTGCTTGTATTATTTGTCGTGATTGTTGTTGTTTTTGTCACAGTATCTCACTTGGCCCTCATCAGGTCTTGGTCTTTGAGGGCAGAACCCTGCAGGTAGATGACTCTCTGGGCCCACAGAGGGACATGGAGGACCCTCCTGACCTGGACATCCATCTCTGCTGGGCACAGGATCACCACATAGTAGTCCTACAAACACACAAAGAGAGGTTTAACCAACAGCTCACTTAATACTGAACTATGATTGGCTGCCAAACTAATTGTGATGTATAAATCATGCTTTAATGACCACATCCCATGTGAGATCTCCCACTTCGGCAGATTCATGTAAAACTTAATTAAATAACAATATGCAAAACACATTTTAAAGGGAGACGTTAACCATCACCTGCACCTCCTAATGGATACACATGAATGCAACCTCATGAAAACATCTGCTTCAACATGAATAATACAGCATTTTGATTATTGTTTTCGCTAAATGAAACATCTCCTTTAACCTCAGCTGTCTAGCCAACTGTAGATGATGACAGACAACAATCGCAAAACCCCTCCGACACCCTTTTTGTTTTGGCTTAAAACCGTTTTGAGAGACCTGTAATCGGGGGTGAGCGAAGAACTCATTGAGGAAGTCCATGAGGAGGTCGATTTTGAGGCAGCTGACACACAGCACCACGTGTTTCTCCGTCTGCGCCCTGTAGCGGCTGTAGTTCCCCCCGGACTTCTGCCGCTCCATCCACAGAAAGGCCAGCTGCTCGAACTACATTCAGAATGACATCAATCACATTCAACAGAGGGAAATTGGATTAGGTTTGATGGAATACAGGGAGGAGCCAGGTGGCTTAGGAAAAGAAAACAATGCCTTACAGAGAGTGTGTTTTGGTTTAATTAGGGACAGTCTTGGGGGAATTAAGAAAAGATGAGATTTGGTTAAGGATGGGGGCTGAATGAAACATGACAGCAGCAACAGAGGAAAGTAAGTTACAGAAATACCAGTAAGCCTGAGGGAAACAATTGTGTGTGTGTGGAGAGGGCCAGGTAGGTGGGTATATAGATGATGGGACTTTTTCTTAAAGCTTTCCAATAAAAATCCCCAAATAATTCACAATGAGCACAACTGTTGTAACTTATTCACAGATGAATGTGCAGCATAAAAGCAATATCCTCCTATAGCAAGAACGAAATTGACAACAATTCTACACATTTGGGCTGATTTGTGATGTTATGATGAGGCCACCGTGATTTGATCAAGGACTGTCTCCAAACTGAGAGACAAGGAAATTACCTAAAGGGTTAGTAATTTATCTTATTTTCAAATCAATATCCTTTCTAGGCTCAACATTACACACAATAAGAGGCACATTTCCTTTGGTGTGTGTTGGGCACAAAAACCAATAGAGGCTCCCCTGTGCAGACAAGAGAAGGGCACACAGGTCATGGCAGGACTCGGACACACACACACACACACACACACACACACACACACACACACACACACACACACACACACACACACACACACACACACACACACACACACACACACACACACACACACACACACACACACACACACACACACACACACACACACACACACACACACACACACACACACACACACACACACACACACACACACACACACACACACACACACACACACACACACACACACACACAGCGTAGGGCTTGGTGGGGGGGTTTCTAAATGTCAAAGGGTGTTTGTGGTTGAAAGATGGGGAGAGGGAGTAGGTAGGATGACGCAGCATCAATGTTGGTGATTCACAGATTGTCGTTATGAGTCTGTTCTAGTTAACAAAAGTTTCTTCATGTTTGTGTCTTTTGTTATTGTGAAGGTTTTGGTTGTCAAGACATTTGCTAACACCCGGTCCCAGCTGATGGGAAAAACAAAACAGTGTGAGTTTGTTCAACAGCCATTATGCTGCGTAGGATGCAGCCCTACACATACTGCTTATGTGACACGTTCAAAAACAGAAAAGCTATCAAAGACGTTTACCAAAGAAATCCAATTTGCAACAAATGAGGAATGTCAGTAGACCAAATCATTTGTGGATTGTTTCTCAGTATTATGTGAGTGTGGTTTCCCACCCTCATCTGACTGCACACAGAGGAAAGTCGTTCCATTAGCACCTCTACATCTTTTGGGAAGCAAGCAAGGAAGGAAGGAGGATACTCTTGCTGTTTCCAGAGTAAAAATAGTGCTGCATATCTACGTACAGTAGGATGCAATGAGTCATCACGTAATTGTACAAGGGGGAAAAAAGGAGAATTATGAATCTTAGGAAAAAACAGATAAACATTTCCTGTAAACAGACTATACCAAAACAGCTTTTTTTGGTTTCAAAGCAATCCCATTCATTTTAGGCATGATTTAAATAATTCACTAAAACACATCAGACACATACTTCTATATTACTTGGAGGAAAGCCCAGCAGAGCCCGGCTGGCTGCTCCTAAAGTTAAATTGAAATAAATATGAGATTGGATGAGGGCTTCTAAACTCATCAAATCACAACTTTACTAGATCACTTTTTAAAAACCTACCTTTCAAAGCTTTGTGTGTTAATTTCCGAAACTCTTTTTAATCTACTGCCTGTGATGTGTTAGTGGTTATCACCCTTGTTCTCACCTGGATGGGAAGCACAATGAGCGCCACGAAGATCATGATGACCACCAGGAGTTGTGAGGGCCAGATCTGGGGGGTGACATCTCCGAAGCCCACCGTGGAGAAGGTGACCACGCAGAAGTAGAGCGAGTCGAACAGGGTCAGGTTGTTGCCCGCTCGTTCCAGGTGTTGAATACCACAGATGCTGATGGAGGTTGGCAAGATGGAAAGAAATGAAGAAAGTGAAAAAAAAGGAAGTGAGTATTACTCAGACTTCACATGTTGGGTGAAGTATAGGTTCCTGTGGAGAGCTATCTTTCACGCCTGTGTGTGTATGTGTGATTGTGGAGATGGGGGTGGATGCATGCTTCAGTGGCTTTGTGGGACACTGTATATGCATACTGGCCTGCTATTTTGTTCTTTATGGGATAGATGAGTCAACTGTAAATGTCACCCCTGAAATGGTCAGAGAGCTTAATTCCTGCTGCTTGTAGCATCTTTTGGATTAGCAAGCTGTCACATCATCCACTGCACTGAAGCATTTCAGAGCACTATCTTATCTTCACAGTTACCAAGTAGGCTACCTTCCTTTTTATCTTTTATCTGGAAGAGGAGCATTTATTTCCCTATGTAACCCACATTAAAACATAGTCAGCATAAAGTCATTCAAAAGGGATTTCATTAAAGGTGGGGTAGGTAAGTTTCAGAAACCGGCTCGAGATACACTTTTTGTTATATTCCATGGAATGCTCTTAACATCCCGGTAGCAATGAATATCTTAAGTGCTTTGACAAAAAATCCATAAAAAAATGTCATCTGTGGAAGCCGTAATACTGTAAAAAGTACAACCAATCCGTTTAGCCGGCCCGGCTAAACGGATTGGTTGGCCTACCTGCCTGTCAGCCTTTCATCGGGGCACAAACTTATCTCGTGCCCTCATTGGTCATGTGCGCGTTCGTGTGTGTTGGAGGAGGGGCTCTATAAGGAAGTGGCAGATTTTCTCCGGTTGTGTATTTTCAAATTCTAGCGATCTCGAGCCGGTTTCTCAAATTTACCTACCCCACCTTTAAGGATACACGTTTACAATTGGTCAATGATAACATTGACCAATCCCTTTAAAAATATAATAAATAAAAGTAGTATGACAAATTACAAGGTACTGTTCCTTAAGGGATCTCTGCTCACCACCAGGCACGCGCAGCGTAGCAGGAGAAAAGAGAAAACGGAGCAAGACGCAGATGAGATGAGCGGAGTAAATTATATTAAAACTTTAAAAGTGATTCAAAGTTGATTTTAAAAAGATAAAAATACCATCCACACGGTCGGAAAACCCAGTAGACGGTATAGAACATTAACCAACGGTGTTTTGGTCAGGTTTTTTTGGACTGGATAAAAAAGTTGATCGCAAGTAAGAGGACAACACACACCCGCTCTGATACAAAATGGCGAGCCAGACCCACGGACTGCTTTGATCTTCGCTCCAGTGAGAGGACTTGCTGGTTTATCAAGAGACAATAGCTGAACTCACTGCCAGAGTGGTAGGAGTATTGAAGAAATTATAAGGTTGGAACTGGATTTAAGTTGTACCTGGATTTAAAGAGACACTATATATTGTACTCTAGGTTTTCATTTGTCATTTGATTTCATTGATGGTACGATTGTGTTTTTTTCATTGAATTAGATATATTTTACCTGTGAAAAGGGAAAAGAAAAAGAGTTAACTCAGGATATTGAAGAGATTAAAATAGGAAAAATCTATGAATAATACTTAGTAGACCGGTCTAAAATAAAATAGGCTATTTTATTTTGTTCATCCTATATGGATAACATTTACTAAGTCACAGAAATCAGAAAACAAGGGAAAGGTGAAATACTTACTTCTGATTATACTGCAGAAAATATTCATTGTCTATGTTTAATGTTTTGTCTATTTCGTCAGTAAATTGCCGGCTGTTCTATTCAAACCACCTGATCTCTGGTCTAATTACTTACCTGTCTATCCACTCTAGTAGAACCCAGAATCCTTCTAGTCAGATAGCATAGCCCAAGATAATAAGTGTTACAAATTGGCGAGCTAGCCAGGATTGAATACAAATAAAACAGATTTAAGATTAGCGATCAGAGACCATATAGAAGCCTTTTCATCAATATGGATGAAATTCAGGCATTAGGCGTCAAAATACCTAACTCGCTCTTAGTTAGTGGCCTAACAGACACAAAGACAGACGAAGAGCTTTATGACTTCTTAAACCAATATGGCTCGATTGAGAGAAGAATCCCAGTAGACCTGCCACAAGCTGGATCCAGCCTGCAAATGATTGTAGAGTTTACGTATGGCACAGCTGTACAGTCACTGTTGGACATTTTGCCATACAAACTTGCAAGCAAGACTCAGACAGATGTTGCTTTTAATATCAAAGCCTTAGCAGGTGTGTACATTTATACAGTTGGCCAATCCACTACACAAACGTACCTTGAGGAATTGAAGAAAATTGCAAAGCACAGTGGCAAAGACCTGGTAGAGGTGCTGAGAAAGGAGCTCCATCACATCAGTCAAACTGTTGAACAAGAGGATCGTGAGAGTCAACATGATGATGCTGAAACAAACCGTGAGGAAAGTTTCAACATTGTAACAGGTGAATCCACAGCCTAGTGTTCTTCCTCCACAAAGTGTTCATATCCCTGAGCCCAGGTTAGCATCATCTCAACAACACACCAAAGAAAAGACTCAGCCTACTCTGAGCTTCACTGATCTCTATCCATCTGATCTGCAGAAGGTTGTTATTGAACATATTGTCAAGCGTGAAGACTCTACAGCACAAATGCATGCTTCATTAAGACTCCGACCCTTCTCTGGACGCTGCCCCCGTCCAAACAACGAAGTTGACTATGAGACTTGGCGCTCTAACGCAGATTTCCTATTGAGAGATGCTCAACAGTCAGATCTTCACAAATCACGAAGAATACTAGAAAGCCTCTTGTCACCTGCAGTTGACATAGTGAAACATCTAACTCCTAACTCATCCCCATCACTCAACATTCTAGACTCAGCCTATGGCACAGTTGAAGATGGAGACGACCTCTATGCCATGTTTCTAAACACACTACAAAACAACAGCGAGAAATCTTCCGCCTACCTTCAACGACTACAAGTAATGCTGAACACCACCCTCAGGAGAGGTGGAGTAAAAGCAACTGATCTGGACAGCCAGCTCCTGAAACAATTTTGCAGAGGCTGCTGGGATAATGCTCTAATTTCAGAGCTGAAGTTAGAACAAAAGAATCAAACTCCACCTACCTTTGCAGAGCTCCTCTTGCTGCTTCGCACTGGGGAAGACAAACGCAACTCTAAAGAATGCCGAATGAAACAATACTTCGGTGTATCAAGACAGAAGGTGTCCTCACACTTCCAAGCTGCTTCTTCTGAGTGCACAGGAGAATGCAACTCATCACCACAAAGACACAATGAGTCAAGATCTGAAATGGAAGACCTGAAAAAACAAATAGCTCATTTGCAGTCTCAGCTGACACAGATTACTCAAAGATGACAAAACCAGCTCAAAGAAAGCAGATGCCACTACCAAATCTTCAACTGACAGGACTAAACAGAATAAAACACTGCCCAGCATCCATGATAACAATAATAACAGTCATAGTAAAGAGCCAAAACCCTGGTACTGTTTCAGGTGTGGCGAAGACAGACACATAAAGCCCCAATGTGAGGCTGAAGCAAACCCCTCTCTCGTAGCCTTCAAAAAGAAACAGTTGAAAGAGAAACAGATGGAATGGGAGATGAAAAATGGTCATTCACCATCAGATTATTTAAACTAACACCAGCCACTGTTGAGGGACAAATGGAGGTTGAGAAACAGATTAAGAGTCCCAAAGGGAAGCAACGTAAATGGTTAGCATTTTCTAACTCGAAACAGAGAGCAATGACCATACCAAAAGGGCTCATTGGAGCTAAAACTACTGCACATGTGACAATTGCTGAGAAAGACTGTAACTGTTTGTTAGACACAGGTTCGCAAGTAACCACAATTCCCAAATCATTCTACGAACAGAATCTATCCAACTGACCTATTAAGTCTTTAAACAACCTACTTGAAGTAGAAGCCGCTAATGGCCAAGATGTCCCCTATTTGGGATATGTTGAAGTTAATATCACATTCCCTAGGAGTTCCCTTGGCCTTGACTTTGAAGTGCCCACTTTAGCCTTGATCGTCCCTGACATGCAGTCAACCCTGTCAACAGTTTTGATAGGCACTAATACCCTTGACCCTCTTTATGAGTTGTACACAAGTGCTGCACTTCAGAAGTCCCAGTCATTGCCCTATGGGTACAGAGTGCTTCTCCAAACCCTCAAACTGAGACAAAGACAGGAAGTGGACTCCAGCCTAGGAGTTGTGAGACTGTCTGGAAAAGACCCCGAGACTCTTGGCCCTGGTCAGACCAAGGTGGTGGAAGGATCAGTCAGCTGCAAAATACCCAATGCAGGAAAGTGGGTGGTGATCGAATCATCAAAAACATCCTCTTTGCCAGGTGGCATAATGGTCACAAATGGGTTAGCAAGTCTCCCACCCAAACTACCTTGTTGTGTTGTTGTGTACCAGTGATCCTCAAAAATGAATCTGACCACGATATCACTATCTCCCCAAAGAGCGTGATAGCTGAAGTCAATGACATTCAAAGTGTCCAGCCTGTCACTCACAACAACTCAGATACTCAAACAAAACCTGACCAAAAACCAAAGAAAAGATTTGACTTTGGTGAGTCCTCAGTTCCCAATGAATGGAAAGAACGCATAACCGAAAAACTGAACTCGATGTCAGATGTTTTTGCACAGCATGATCTCGAATTTGGGCGCATTGCCAAATTAAAACACCACATAAAGCTCAGTGACGAAACCACATTCAAACACAAAGCGAGACCCATACACCCACAATACATCGAAGCTGTGCGTAAGCATCTCCAGGAACTTCTCAGTGCTGAAATCATTCGTGAATCAGAATCCCCCTTTTCTTCACCGATTGTGGTTGTCAGAAAGAAGAACGGTGATGTCCGACTCTGTATCGACTACAGAAAACTCAACCTCCAAACAGTGAAGGATTCATATGCCTTGCCAAATCTGGAAGAGTCCTTTTCAGTGTTGAACGGGTCCAAGTGGTTCTCAGTATTGGATCTAAAGTCTGGCTTTTACCAAATCGAGGTGGAAGAGTCAGACAAGCAAAAAACTGCATTTGTCTGCCCACTTGGATTCTTTGAATTCAACAGAATGCCTCAAGGGATAACAAATGCCCCTCGCACGTTTCAGAGGCTCATGGAGCGTTGCATGGGAGATTTGAATCTCAAACAAGCCCTTGTTTTCATTGATGACGTCATTGTCTTCTCGTCAACACTTGAGGAACATGAAGAAATGTTATTAAATGTACTCACAAGGTTGAGAGAGTATGGCCTGAAGTTGTCTCCTGAGAAGTGTAAATTCTTCCAGACGACTGTCAAATATCTGGGCCACATTGTGTCAGAAAAAGGCATTGAAACAGACCCTGAAAAGATCGCCTCACTCAAAACCTGGCCAAAACCAAACAACTTGAAGGAGCTAAGAACCTTTTTGGGATTGTGCGGTTATTATCGCCGGTTCATAAAAGACTACTCAAAGATTGTGAAACCTCTCAATTCACTCACTGCCGGGTATCCACCTGCACAGAAAAATCAGAAGCCCAATGTGAAAACAGAGAAATATCACAATCCTAAAGTCGAGGTATTTGGTGATAGATGGACAACAGAATGCCAATCTGCATTTGAAACTATCATTGACAAGTTAACAACAGCTCCAATCCTTGGTTTTGCTGATCCCAAGTCACCCTACATCCTACACACAGATGCAAGCACGATAGGACTAGGTGCTGTCCTGTACCAGGAACAGCAAGGACAGAAACGTGTCATTGCATATGCGAGTCGTGGCTTATCACCTTGTGAAGCCAGATACCCAGCACACAAATTGGAGTTCCTTGCCCTTAAATGGGCAGTCACAGAAAAACTCCAACACTATTTGTATGGAAGCCCATTCCTAGCTGTTACTGACAGCAATCCATTGACCTACGTCCTCACTTCTGCCAAGCTTGACGCCACAAGCTACAGATGGCTAGCTGCTGTGTCAACTTTCGACTTCCAACTGCAATACAGAGCAGGAAAGCAGAATCAGGACGCAGATGGGTTGTATAGAAGGCCACACAGTGGATTGGCAGATGATCATATCTCAGAAAAAGAGATGGAGAGGATACGGCAATTTGCTCAAAGGCACTTGTCTGAAAATGAAGAGTCATGCTTGATTGCTGAGAGCACAGTCAAGGCCATAAGCACCTTGTCCATAACACCATCAATGGTGAACATGCAGAGGAATTGTCTGGTACCATCTTAGTCCTATCTCTAGCACAAAATCCAAACGCCATACCAGCAAGCTATGAAGCTGAGGAACAGTTTGGTGGCTTACCAGTCATTCCTCATCTCACCGTTGCTGAGCTGGTTGAAAAGCAGAAAGCTGATACCTGCATCAGGGAAGTAATCCACCAAATGGAGTCTGGAGAAAAACCCCCACCCTCTATCAGAAAAGAACTTCCTGAAATCTGCCTGATGTTGAGGGAATGGAACCGACTTGAACTAATAAATGGTATATTGTACCGCAGAAGACAAGAAGGTGCACGCATGTCTTATCAACTTGTACTGCCGGAGGAGCTGAGGCCCTCTGTACTAAAGAACCTTCATGACGACCTTGGCCACATGGGCATTGAACGTACTCTGGACCTGGTCAGAGTGCGTTTCTATTGGCCTAAAATGTCAGCCGATGTGGAGCAAAAAATTAAAACTTGTAACCGTTGTGTACGACGGAAGTCTTTACCTGAAAGAGCAGCACCACTTGTGAACATCACTGCTACAAGGCCATTCGAACTTGTGTGTATGGATTTCCTCTCTGTAGAACCAGACTCGAGTAACACCAAAGATATTCTGGTCATCACAGACCATTTTACTAAGTACGCAGTGGCCATCCCAACCACAAATCAGAAAGCGCAAACTGTAGCTAAGTGCTTATGGGAACACTTCTTTGTGCACTATGGCATCCCTGAAAGACTTCACAGTGATCAAGGTCGGGACTTTGAGTCTCGAACAATAAAAGAACTGTGTGAGCTCATTGGTACCCAGAAAATCAGGACTACTCCATATCATCCAAGGGGCAATCCCGTTGAACGTTTCAACAGAACCCTACTTAACATGCTGGGAACTCTTGAGAATCAAAAGAAGTGCCATTGGCGAGAACATGTCAGACCTTTAGTATACGCCTATAACTGTACTAAAAATGACGTAACTGGGTTTAGCCCTTACGAGCTAATGTTTGGGGGACAGCCTAGATTGCCAGTCGATCTGGCATTTGGCTTACCTGTTCATCACCAACCAGGTTCACACTCTCAGCATGTTCAAAACCTGAGATCCCATCTCGAAACAAGCTACAGAGTTGCTTCTGAAAATGCAAAGAAAGTAGCAGATCGCAACAAAACAAGATTCGATAAACGTGCCGTTGAATCTACTCTAAAAGAAGGTGACAGAGTCTTGGTCAGAAACATTCGCCTTAGGGGTAAGCATAAGCTAGCGGACAAATGGGAGACAGACGTTTACATCGTCCTAAGACAATCTGGAAACGTTCCAGTATATGTTGTTGGCCTGAAAATGGAAAAGGTCCACAAAGAACCCTACACCGTGACCTTTTGCTGCCATGTGGTTTCCTTCCTTTAACCCCAGTGGAAGATGGAACTAACACACAAGGGCCCCCAAGACGGCCAAGAACTCGACAGTAACCAAGACAAGAAAGCTCTGATGGAGCTAATGAGAACGAATGCCAATCTGACCCAGATGAATATTATCACGATAGTCACAGATACCTAAGTGTGGAGGCTGTAGATTTCAATAACATCTCCGAAACTACAGAACAGCCCCTTAGTGAAATTGAACAAGAACCTCTTGAAATGGTATCTACTATTGAGCAAAAATCTTCAGATGTAGCCGAAGCTTTCCCTGAAGACGAGCCTGTGGAAACCTCTGATTGTGACTTATCTGCTAGAGACCCTGCAGAAAGCAACCTACCTGATCCCTGTGGAAACAGTCCACCTGCTGGACAGAAACCAGCATATCTACCTGAACAGGTCCTGAGTGAAGAAGAATGAAAATGAAAGCAATATCAATCAATCTGAAACGGAAATGGAGAAAGAAACCCTGAGAAGATCCATCAGAGACAGAAAGACCCCTAAAAGACTGACTTACCCTGAGCTGGGAAATCCATTAGCTATGATAGTACAGTCTTTATTTCAGAGCCTTACTGAAGTCATAACAGATTCACTCATACAACCTAAATTAAGAAACACAAAGAGTCCTGACAATATAGACTTCTAAAACAATGCACAGGGATGTGCATTAGGTAAAGTGGGGAGGATGTAACCCACATTAAAACATAGTAAGCATAAAGTCATTCAAAAGTGATTTCATTAAAGGATACGCGTTTATAATTGGTCAATGATGACATTGACCAATCCCTTTAAAAAATATAATAAATAAAAGTAGTATGACAAATTACAAGGTACTGTTCCTTTAAGGGATCTCTGCTCACCACCAGGCACGCACAGCGTAGCAGGAGAAAAGAGAAAACGGAGCAAGACGCAGATGAGACGAGCGGAGTAAATTATATTAAAAGTGATTCAAAGTTGATTTAAAAAAGATAAAAATACCATCCACACGGTCGGGAAACCCAGTAGACGGTATAGAACATTAACCAACAGTGTTTTGGTCAGTTTTTTTTGGACTGGATAAAAAAGTTGATCGCGAGTGAGAGGACAACACACACCCGCTCTGATACAAGATGGCGAGCCAGACCCACGGACTGCTTTGATCTTCGCGCCAGTGAGAGGACTTGCTGGTTTATCAAGAGACAAGTGCTGAACTCACTGGATTTAAGTTGTACCTGGATTTAAAGAGACACTATATTGTACTCTAGGTTTTCATTTGTCATTTGATTTAATTGATGATACAATTGTGTTTTTTTCATTGAATTACATATATTTTACCTGTGAAAATGAAAAAAAACTCAGTTAACTCAGGATATTGAAGAGATTAAAATAGGAAAAATCTATGAATAATACTTAGTAGACCGGTCTAAAATAAAATAGGCTATTTTATTTTGTTCATCCTATATGGATACCATTTACTAAGTCACAGAAATCAGAAAACAAGGGAAAGGTGAAATACTTACCTCTGATTATACTGCAGAAAATATTCATTGTCTATGTTTAATGTTTTGTCTATTTGTCTTTTTCGTCAGTAAATTGCCGGCTGTTCTATTCAAACCACCTGGTCTCTGGTCTAATTACTTACCTGTCTATCCTCTAGTAGAACCCAGAATCCTTCTAGTCAGATAGCATAGTCCAAGATAAGAAGTGTTACACCTATATCATATTTTTTACCTCTCTATCACGTCATTGTTTTGCCTCTCCCTATCCATCTCACCCCCTCCTTTCCTCACCCTGCCCACGGTCATGACAAAACCGACACTGTCTGTCGAACCCTGACCCTGTTTTTCTCCTAGTTGGCCCACTTTCAGTTGAGTGTCAGCTGGCGAGGGTACCCACCATGTGAACATGAGGCAGACCAGGGTGCTGATGAGTATCACCACCTGGTTAAACATGGCTGAGTGCGTCCGCTGGATCGCCCTGTGGAGATCATTCTGCAAAGAGATAGACACAGGTGTGAGTATGTGAACAGCCCATTGTTGCCCCAAGTGTGAAATTATGATAAATATCAGTTTATGGCTAGTATGAAAAATACATAGAACTAAGGAGGAAATATAAAATTGCACGAAAGCAGGAGATGAAAATGGCAAAGAGCAAGACAGCATATTCAAAAATGGGAAGCAAGCTCAGACGACATTGGACAGCAGGGAATATGAGAAACTTCTCCACCAAGCCCAGGGTGCAAGGTTAAATGTTTTTTTACGACTTATTTACCTTCATGGCAGAATGAGCTGGTGAGCTGTAATTGCACAGACAGAGAGGGGCAATCGCATGCCAACAAACAGAATATAACGGAGATTAAAGTAATGATGAAAATTGAGAAGGGAGGTGCTTGACTCACTATCATGTTCTCCAGAGCGTGTTTTGCCAGCCAGCAATTGAGAAATACAGGGATGAAGAGATTTCTGAAGGAGGGCAAAATCACCTGTCAAGAATGGAGAGTGTTAGTCTGCTTGGCTGTCTCCTCACATTGTTTCATATGTTGCATACAGTCACTGAATAACAGGCAAAGGAAAGGGGTTGTGTGAGCATGAGCCTGGTGTGATATTATATAATACATATATATGTGTTCCGCAGTGCTCGAGTGCGTTCGAGCATTTCCACTCACAGTGATCATGAAGGGGATGGCGCTGATCATCTCCAGAATGAAGGGGACACGTAATACTTGCTCCCAAACGTTGCCCTGGAAACACAAAACACATACAAGGGATCAGGAAACCCCATTGTCATGGCGGCCTTCAGGAATAACCATATAACAGACCCCCATTGCGGTGAGTTGGAGGGAACAAATTGACCGCCATAGAATTGATCTCAATGTATGAGTGTTATATAACGCCCTTGCATCGCTTTGAGATAAGAAGCAGCATTACTCAGTTTCCTCTTGGCTTAACTGTTCAATTAAGATGTCAGACATGGCTTTTTGTATGCGTCTCCCACCTGCATATAACTGACCTAAATCTGATTAGTGTAGGTGGACAGGCGCAGGGTATGTCCACAGGAATCAGTCAGTGCTAAATGTTAAAGGGCTTCTAGCCTTCAGAGTAATCTGCAGAGTGAGCCCTTTATAGGCTTATACTGTCAGGTACATCAAAAGCAGGGCAACCCGTTGATGGATCGGCCCCCTGCAACACAGGGGCCTCCCCTAAAGTCTCTCTGATGTGTCAATAACAGGCTGATGATAAGGAAGCCTCGACGCCCGCTGAGGGTCTTTCCAAATGCAAGGAGACGTGAGAAAACACACAGAGGAGTTCAGAGTGGACAAACGACACCCTCAGGCATTTTGCATGAATGTACGTCCCTGCACACACACACACACACACACACACACACACACACACACACACACACACACACACACACACACACACACACACACACACACACACACACACACACCACACACACACGTAGACATCAAAAGAACATCACAACAGGCTTCTGATTGGATTTTGGGGGACGTGAGTATCTCACCTTATAGCTGAGATACACGAGCAACATAGTTTCTGAAAAGCTGATGAAAGCCACAAGCACCTGCAAAAAGAGAGAGAGAGAGAGTTACAGAGAAAATGAGAGACGCTGACACAGAGAGGAGTCGGGGAGTGACCAGCGCAGAGAGAAATTAGGAGGCGCAGGGATGGAGGAGGAGAGCGTGGGTGGAAGCAGTAGGCTGGCTGATGATTGAGCTTCAGAGAGAACAGATTTAAGTGAAGCAAGAGACAGTCTGGTGTCTGAATGTGTATATGCCTTCATTGTAAATATGTGTCAGGTTAAATTATATAATTTATTTAAGCCGGAATTGACATGCAGTGTGATGCAGACAAACCCATAAAAGGAACGCACAAAAGACGACATGAAACCTGTGTTGGTGTGTTCATGCATTCAGACATTTGTGTAAACACCGATGTACGGAGGTCTCTCTGACCTGCAGCGCCCACAGCGGTAGAGGTCGATCCACCCAGATGATCAGTTTCCTGCAGAGCGAAAGAAAGGGAAAGAACAGAGAAAATAGGAGAGAGGAATTGAAAAAAAAAGGGCCAAGAATATTTTATTAAAAAGGACAAAACTAATTATGTTCTGTAACACAATGATACTCAATAGGGACCGATACATTTCACTTGTTAAATCTAATTTGGGCGTTTACAACTGAACAACAGAGGACTCCCCAGCTGCTAATGTGCTCATATTGTTGGAGAAAAAGCAATATTCACACAGCTTATTTGAAATGTACATCCTTATTGTGAGAGAAAAGGCAATTTCTTCCCCCCAAAGACCCCCTGGGGCTTATCATGGCTACTTGCCTGCCCGCTCTCTGATTTGCTCCTACGGTTCGGCTGCTCGGAGCAGGCAGCCCATCCCTTTCCTGAGCTCACCCTGTCAGCCTCCTTATTCATTTGGAGCCAGAGCTTAGCCAGTGTCACCCGCCACCAATTAGATCAATAGTCCCTGAGCAGGAGACATGGCCGCAGCCTCAGGTCTGTGCACACTTCCTGGTCTCTCTCCCTCTCTCTGCTATTGTAGATTATGTGCTTTATCTCCACTAGATCGCTGCTGATTAGGCTGCACACGCACTGCATGCATATTAGGTTGACAGGTAATCCATACAGTCCAATTGTGATCGATGAATGTGGATCTTAATGCTCAATATCAGCATTGTGCATTGATTGCATTATACGTTTCCGATGTTGGGGATGCCAGTCCTCCAGGGTGCACCATTTCATCCCTGCAGGCCGAAGCCATCACTCCCAATTAGAGACTCACATGCTTACCAGTCAAACCCACTCCAGGGATGCGATGATGTGTTTTGTTTGGTGCAGTTTGCTCCGTTTACGCTGCATTAGGAAACAAACACAAACATGACAATGAAAGTAAGTTCTTACTCCTTATCCCCTCAAAACCGGGACCTCAGTGTAGATATCAGTTTACTTTTTGGATTGCATCTCCACCCCCTCTCTTCGCCCGACAACATCTTACATACACTGCTTTTACGGGATACTCTACACACACAGTTATCTCAGCTATTGATCTGTTGCGCTATCAGGTCTCCACACACACACATACTTTGCTTCACCTCATTAAGCCCCTGTTATCTCCTTTTCACTCACCAGTCCTGTCTTCCGTCTTGCGGGTTGTCCAATAGGACTCTGACAATGTAGAGGAGACAGCTCAGCACTTTTAGAGAAAAGTTGAACATTCGCACTCGCAGACCTGCAATAGAAAGAAAGAGGACAATCAGTCATTTCTTATTTCAAAAAAAGATCTGTAGGATTCTTTGCTTCCCCTAAGATACAAATAACAGCATAAAAAAAACATCACACACACAAAAAAACCAGAATAGCTTTGGGGATTCAAAAGCAGTTTATAAGCCATTTATCATTACTACCAAAAGCTCAGTAGTGCATTAGATTTCCCTCCAAAGCACAATTCATTACATATTCCAATAAAGAAGGTGTAGCCTTGTCCAATAAAGCAGAATATGGTTTGCTAAAAGTTGAACAAATATCCTTTACACCCCAGTTAGTATTACATTATGTTGTTTAAGTATTTGTTAACCGCTTAATAGGAAGGGATGAACACTTTCATTACTTACTTAAATATACATAAATTACAAAATATACACATGTTTCTAATTTAAGTTAAGATTGTATTAATAGGCATGTGATTTGACTCTGTATGCAGGAAGGAATCAACATAAAAAGTGATCACATGTCCAGATATGAATCCACAGAGAACCTTCATCAAGACTACGAATTATAAAACAGTCCCAAAGAGTGGACAAGTTGAACAACTGGTGATGAAATGCAGAGCAAGAAAGGCTGCACATAGACAGACAGAGAGAGTGTGACCCCAAACACATGCAACTCACTTGATCTTTGGTTTTTGATGAAGAACAGCTTAAGGCGCTCCTTGAAAGTGTTCTCATTCACATAGAACTCCACCTGCACCCTGAGAGAGGGACGGAGAGACGGGCAGGGACAAAGATAGGGAGGGGAGAGATGATTAAAGAGGTCAAACAACCTCTTTTATAGAGTCAAGACAAGAGTCAGGAGAGAACAAAACAAGTAGAGGGCTGGGAGATCAAATAAAATAAAACAAGAGGATTACAATAAAGTGTTATACAATTGAGGTAAAAAGGGCGATAATGATTATTTGAACAGTGAAAAGTCTGGAAATAGGACTCTGTGACCAACTACATTAAAGACTAATGGGTTTGGGAGGAAATGGTGCTCATGCTTGTCCGCCTGCCCATAGGCCCAGACAGCTGCAGTCAGTCTCGTTATCTCCACTGATTAAATATAGAGCAACAAATTACTTCCCTCTGATGTTTCTGCTGAACATGGAAGGCCATAATTACTGCTCTTTCTCCCTTACCATTCACAACTACTGTACTCACACAGACCCGAGAACACACACCTGTGAGAGGGTCATTAAGATTATTTGGCCATTCACAAGCCCATCTGACACCTATGGGGAGGCATGATTACATGTACAAAAAGGCTCTCTTCAGACAGCTCTTACATGTGTGCAGGCACATTAGCAAACAGACTGACGGTGACTGTATTTCCTGTCGGACCACCTCAGGGGAGATTTCTCAGTGGCTCTCCTTTCATCCTATGGAGGGAAGCGTGGATGACTCAGGTCGGGGATGACAAACGGCGGGCTAGGCTCAATGGTGGTCTCCTCACAACACACAGACAGATGAAAGCGAGGGCAGAACAACTGCTCTATTCTGTCTGCAGGAAGAGGAAGGGATGGGGGGGGTTCTTCCCAGGGTTCCAGAGTGACGCTATAGCAGCATCCCACATGGTCAGACACGCAGAGACCAAAGCCAAAGCTGCACTTTCCCAGCTACATTAAGGGAGTGGGGGGTAACTTTCCTCTTTGTTGCTATGGCAACACAGGATTCGTTGTCTTTTCCCCTCCCTCTCACATGAGCAGATGTGAGCAAACACATACTTGTGAAGTGTGTGCAGCCATCTGAGCCGATACACCGCTCCAACTTGTTGACGGCCCTTTGCTCTGAGCAGCCTGCTGACAATAAGGCTTTCACACACACGCACGCACACACACACACACACACACACGCACGCACACACACGTGATGGAAAACAAGAGGACATGTAGACACGGCCAGCAGCTCCCTCACGGGTGTGTAAGGACACTTTAGGATTAAAAATACACTTTGAATGAATTACTGTCGAGATGGGACACCCTACAGTATTTTCAGTCAGTGTGGAGTGTAAGGAAACGTGTGTGTGTGTGTGTGTGTGTGTGTGTGTGTGTGTGTGTGTGTGTGTGTGTGTGTGTGTGTGTGTGTGTGTGTGTGTAAAAAGAGGCGTAATGAGCTAATAGACCATGTGACTGCACGAGTTATTTCATGCACAGAACAATCAAACAATCAATAGCTTGGTTGTAAGAAGCATAGACACATTTTCGCCACACATTTGAAAGTGAATATCATTAGTGCCATTAAAAGTTGGAGAAATTCATTATTTACATGATGTTCCAAGACTAAGAACAGCAAGTATCAAGAAAACTGTTTTCCAATGCTGCATAGCAGATCCTGTGATCAAAGGCTCCTAAAACTTCAAGGTAGGCAGATGTGATTGGTAAATTGTATTCTCCATAAGAAAACACTTAGTTAGAAACCTATTGGTTGAAACATATTAACAACAACTTACCAGTGAAGATGTTTGACTCACCCAGTGATTAACTGTTCCACACAACTACCACATGTTTTAATCTATACCATAAATCTGTCCTGCTAAAGTAACTGTAAGCCACAATCAACTTGTGTTCAGTTTACAGTACATTAACACTATTCTTGCACACATTTTATTAGAAAGAATGATTGATCCACTGTGTCAAGTTTTGGGTTATCTTCTGCATAAAAAACCCAAATTGTTCAGAGCTTAAAAGTCATTTTCCTTCAAGCTTAATGTCCTCTTTTACAACCAAATCCATCAGGCACTGCACCTATTTGTCTTGCAGTGACAGTGTTCTTCTAAACTTGCCAAACCTCCAGTATTTATTGACTGTTTGTTTTCCCCTTAAGACACTTAAAGTGACATACATTTCTTAATTCAACGGTATACCTGCATTTCTTCATTCATCAAAGTCCTTAAAGCCTCTCCACACTCTATATGACTAGGCTGTGATGACTTCCCAGGAGAAGAGGATCATTTCAGAGGTCCTTTTGCCCTTGATGTGTTTCTCTCTGAGTGAGGGCTTTTCCACTTGAGTGTACAACAGCGGATGAAAAGTAAAGTGGAAATATAGCCCAATAAAAGACTTGAGCTGAGGGATTGATTGAGAATCTGGATCTTTAATCTAAGGGGAGGATGGAGGAGAAAAACACATTAAAAACTCATAAGGACATTATTTCAAAACAAACGACACACAAACTCATCATGACTCATCACAACTTCTGGGCAACAGCCCCCTGAGGCCCTCAAAAAAGTACAAAAAAGAAATGATCAGATCACTGGAGAAAAACTGCTTTGGGATACTGTTGAGCAGAAATAAAACACATGTTGCTGGATAAACAACCATGTTAGTGTATCGCTTAGGATTCCCCATGGAGGTCCTACTTTCTGTCTCTCTGCTTCTTTCTTTAAATAAAGGTGTATTTAACAATTATTTAGAGGCAGACATCTAAGGTCCTCTTCCAGGCTTTAATAGATCAATAACAGCATGTTATAACAGCTGGAAACAAGAGAACAGGAAGCCTCCAGATTGAATTAAAAGTTGAACTGTGCAAGAAAGAGAGCTAGAGAGACTCATACAGACGGATAAATAGACGCAGACAGATGGACAGAAAGACAGAGGGGGACTTGCGGAGGAGGATCTCAGAGAGAGGGTGCAGCTGAACCTTGTCCTCCTGCTGTTTCCACCCATGCCTGTGCTCTGTAATGACAAAGCACTGGCCGTCTAATGACACAGTGCAAGAGGCTAAAGAAACCCAATTCTGTGCGTGCACAACAGCACAGAATTGGCTCATCACGACAAAACCCAGAAATAGTATTCATATCAGTTAAGCAACAGAAACTAAATAGGAAACCAAGTGAAACATTATGCAGGCAAATCTCAGATTAATGATATGAACATTTATTCTGTTCAATTGATAGAAAGACAACTATTCATATTTGGAGAATGCCTTTGGATAAAAAAGGAAAATGTTTTAAAAATTCAAGTAAGAAGAGAGGAGGGTTGAATCTGAATGGACACAGTTAGGAGAAAAATCTATCATAATTCAAATTCAGGGGAAGGCCGTCTGCCTATATGCTTCAATATGGAAATTAGGACTAATGATTGTTATGGCATTTATTTCATACATTTTAAAGGAAAATCTTAGTTCTTAAATTTTCAGATTTGAAAAGATGAGTATAGAAATATTTAAACCTAAAAAAGCATCAGTGAATATGTTATTTCTAAAGAAGCTCTTCCCGTTTATTGGAAGCAACATGTGTCTCCTTGAGAACTATTATATGGAGAAATGCTGATGGTCATAAAGCAGTTTGAGGTTTGTAACTCAACAAACAGTTTTCTTAAGATGAATGGGGGACCAAATGACATCCCACAATAATATATACTCGAAATAAGGGCAGGAGAAAATCAATGGGCTGACAATTAAAGTCAAATGAATTGCACATCACCACAGGAGCACTCTAACAGCTTTAAGAGAAGCAAGACATTGTTCCTGACCCATACACAATCATCCCACACAATGTGCTAATGGCAGGTGGAGACGAACAAAATAAAATAAAAAATGAAAATATGTGTAGCCTTCAACTCTCCTTGATCATTTTCTATGGTAATAGCATAAAGGCACATTTTTATTTTCACACTGACAATGCAGGTTCATGCTGCCTAAAAAGTGAGAAGAAAGAAATGTCAAATGTCTTTAATGCCACTGATTGCTGCCACAAAAACGATTTTAATACTCCAATGAGACAAGCAAGTGCACTCTCATAATAACTTAATGATGATTGAGACCTTTAAAGGGGCTCTTTATCTACATGCCTTTTAATATAACTGATGGAGAAAATCAACCTTTCTTTGTCGTGACCGATTTATCCAAAAATCCACTAGCTGTGGAAATGCACAGCAGGGAATGACAGCCATCATTTACAATACATGTGCACCCCACAGTATATTGACATTTATTAAGCGTGCACGGCAGCCTTTACTCAGAGCCATTTCCTGAACAACGCCTGGGTTCCAATAGATTCAAACTCTCCATACGTCATCAGTGGAAGTGCTCTAGCCATTCCTCCCGCTGCTCGCTGACAAAAACCAGCCTTGCTAATTCTTCCCTGATATGATCATCATTCCTTTTTAATTACTATTTACTACTTTCTCTTGCCAAAGAAAAAACAGAACACAACGGAGCCATTTAATATGTAGAAAATAAATACTTGGCTCCATGATTTGCCTAAATGCCATAATAATCCCTCTAATGTGAAATAAAAAATGGCGTAAAGTGCTGCACAACTCTATTAAAAGCCATCCAATGACATTCTATCCCTTCAGATTACATTAGCTTTGGATTTGCACGGTTATTTTACATTTGATCAAATCAGCGTGAGATATCAATCTGTTTCCAAGCCGTCTACAAATCACCTGTTTGACGATGAAATGTGCAACGCAAAAGTAGTGAAACATGAGATGAATCGTCTTTATTGCCTGTGTCTGGTGTCTCTGGGGCTGTTTGAATTTGAAGGTCCTGTGGTGTATTAAGCTAACACAGTTTGGGAATAGGGGATCTGCGATAAGTGGCAACTGTTTGTGATCCCCCACAGCTCTGATGCTACTGGGCCTTCAAGCAACACAGAACACAGCTACAGCCCAGAAGTGCTCCGACTCATGCTGGTCAGCCCCATGGCTGTGTTAGTGTCCACAGCAGGGAGCCTCTTATGTGTTGACAGTGCTCTCCTAACAGAAAGGCTGGTTAGGGAGTTCAATATCTAGCTAATTAAAGCCAGTGGAGGCAGACAAATCTCTAATAATAAAATAACTGTGTCTAGATGACCACCAGGGACACACCCTGCACTGTTATACAGCCTTGGGCTAATGCTAATCAGTGATAACAATGAAAAAGGATAAAGCTTTCAACATATAATGTATGTATATGAAATGATAGCCAAAGGATGAAGGGGTTGCTAGAGGATCAAAGAATACAATGTAATAAACTGATTGTACGACAAAACTAAAGTGTCTCCCATTGTCCATTCAGGTTATGCCTTCTCAGAAAGACAGCGACGAGGCTCATGATCACCAGGCAAAATGTGCAAAATATTCTCCATCCTCCAAACGTGCCCTCTTATTTGGACTCAAGACGGACCTATCTTTAATCTTCAATCCTAGTGGAAACCTTCCCTCTTCTCCATTAATAATTAGGATGATGTTTTCAGACACTTCTGTTAATTATGAGGAAGGGAAATGTGCCATGTTTGATGCTTTGGATTTTAATTTGCCTACTCCACTGCAGGACCCCAGCTCAAAATCGACTATGCAAACCCTCCCCCGTAAAAAATAGATTTCAATTAGCAACTGGTTGCTTTTTAGTTGGCTTTACTTCAGATGTTTACCAGAATAATTATGCATTTGGTGGTTTTGAGGTCTGCATGCTCCCACATCACACCTTGTATCTCATCCAGCCTCAAATCTGATTCTCCAAGTAATTCTTTCCATTATACAAGCCCTTTTGTATCTCTGATAACGTCTCTTTATGCCAGCTCTGGCTCTGCAGACATGATGCATAATAACATCCGTAATTCCAAAATCCTCAACAAAGAGCTGTCTAATCTTATAAATGATATGACTGAAACTACATGAGCTCTAAAAGGCTCACAACAGGACTTTGGCTTTCACTGGAAGTCAATATCTTGAATATTGACAATATTGATGGATCGTGCTTTACATTGGCTTTAATAGATTAAGGCTTGACAGAAAGAATTACGAAGGTGGCAAAGATAGAGAGAGCACGGGGATAAGAGAGATTTGACAGATGGAGCGAGAGAAGAGGCGACAGCCAATAAGAGATTGCTTAAAGGACAAAAGGCTGTCAGTTGATAATCCTGGACTCTGAGGGAAACTCCTCCTAAGGCTATTCTCTAATAGAGCACATGGAACCCCTGCTGTATGTAAATTCACTTGTGTGTGACATACAAGCAGAGTAGATCAAATGTGTATTTATAATATGTAAATAGTATGAAAGCCAGGATGTTCAACAGAAAGTGTGTGGCAAAGGAAGATGGGACTGTTTGGCAGACAGAAACAAAAAGCTAGCTTACTTCACAAATAGTTGAAGACTGCTGCTAATAATAAACAACCCTCCATTTCAGGGCAAGTTCAATGTTAAAAATATTCAAAATTCAGACCGCTTCTTTGACTTCTCCTAATCAGCCTGTAAAAGATCTCGATCTCATCGTTTGGTCTTCTGGCATTTCATCAAGACAGAAGCCTCTGATTCACTGCCAGAACATATAAATGGAGTCGGTGTAAACAGAACAGTAACACTAAAATGTTCCTACTTCTGGGTACTTGACACATTTCGGCAACAGCAGGACACACATTACCAATTAAGTATCAGGCACAACCTCGAGGTTATATGTTTTAGGAACGAAGCTAATAAAGGTAATTGGCAGTTGCAGCCACAATTTCAGCAGAACATTATTTAAATGTCTGGGAGAATAGGCTTGTTTCTGTGCAGAGTTAACAGAGCCAAAATAATATCTCTTTGTTCCAATTTGACATAAATAAGATACAGCCAGGAGAAGGTGTCTCTTAATTGCTTTTTTATGTTTAAGCAAAATCCTGCTTTGGGACCGAGACACTATATTACTAGTAATCACACAATCTGGAGGATCCTATGTGTCAAAAAACTGAAAATGGCCTCACTTAAGAGCCTTTCAGTGCTAAAGCTAAATGTATTGCACCGAGTTACAGGAGAGCTCTTGAAAGGGGAAAATGGCATGGTATCGAAGGCACTTCAATCGGAACTAAGATGTTGAGAAGCACAGGGAGTGTGTTGTGGTGGGGGTTGCATTTTAAAGAGGGCAACGTATGGACACGCATCGACAGGGATGCAGGCTAAGAGGAGAGAGCGAGTGAGAAGGCCCACAGAGGATGACAGAAGAGGGATTCAAAGGCTCAGTTATGTATGTTTTCCCTGCGCAGAGTGCCACCATTTGTGTGCGTATTGACATTTTGGTGTGTGAGAGTTTCTGTGCAGGGACGCGTTGATACTATGGAGCTATCTGTGCTCCTGCGCCCATTGGGGTCGTCTGGGTCTCTGAGGATGTTTGTTAAAGCTCCTAGATTAATGGACCACAGGAGACAAACTCTGTGTTATTCAACCCTAAACAAGCTTTTCTGTCACTATCAATCCCAGCTCTTCCTTCTAATCAATCCATTTTATAGCAGCTAATACTCCCTGGACACTGAGATCAACATCTTAATTCCTCTGTCAATAGCTTTCCCTCTCACAAGTGTTGTTTGTAAATGAAACACATAGAACATTTACAAAGACTTCTTTGCTAGACACTAATGCTCATAATAAATCCTAAAACAGGATGCATGAGTTCATTGGACATTCCAGCTCTGCATATGACAGACATAAATAATAAAGTGCTCTGTCCAGTATGTCTCAAATCAACCGAATCAATCACAACCACCAACAACACTTTCATACCTACATTGCAACTGAAATGATCCATGTTGTTGTCAACTGTTTTTATTGTTGTTGCCTCTTTAGGACGATGAAGAGCCTGGACTGTAGACAGTAAGGTTGTGTCTCATAGACTTCCAAGAAAGAAGCAGCAAACCTTCCTCACTAAACCTCTGTAATCAGGTGATGTCGCATTAAACTCTGGTTGGGAAACAGGTCCTTGGGCAATAGCTAAGACATTACAAAAGAGCAAACCAGTGAGTGATCTTCAAAAAGGACACAATTTAATGGTTCAATAATAAGATAATCGTTATTGACAGACCTCTATGGTAACATGCAGAAGTGACTCTTCATTGAAGTCTGGCAATGCCTGCAGGATTGATTTCTAAAAGGCAAGTGTCCCCAATTTTGCTGATTCAAAATCACCCACTCAAGTACAGAACCAAGTGTTTTGGTCGTCATATCGACCGAGCAACAAAATGCATCAAGCATGAAATTGAGGTTAAGGCTTTCCATTAGACTGCAGGATGAAATAGACAAATTAAGCAATGCATATCATATTGCATGTCAAATATTCTGCCCTGCAAACGTGGAATCAAAGGTTAATTGCCAGTGACAGAGGAAGCAGCCTGTCCAGGTTGCAGATTGTTCAATGCAAATCTCAGGAATTATGGCATGAGGAGAACATAAACAGGGAAACGCACTGTAGGTACCCATACTCGCTCCTTCTTCATTTGAAAGGATTTTTACACACATGTTGCAAATACATCATATTACTATAATGAATGAGTTTCTTAATTTCATTCCATGTCTCAATTTGTTCCTTTGGTTAATTAGTGTAATGCTTTTGGTGGGATTATATTAATTAGCAGCATTAGCAACACTATCCTCCGCGCACACTGGGGAAGGAGTAAACCTGTTGCAGCGACAGAGCTGCGCAGCTGGCAGTACAATACTACACCTGAATAAACGTGATAACAAGACAAACTTGCACACGGAAAACAAATGAGTACTTTATAGAGAAGGTGGCATGATGCTCTCAGATGCGCAGCGGATTCAGGGCGCTGTGCGTAAACGATGAAAGTCCTTACCTGTCGTCGGTCTGCCAGTCCCCGAGCAACAGGTCTCGGAACCGGTACCGAGGGGGCAGCGGGAGCACTTCCTTCTCCAGTTCGACCATGGTTCTTCCACAGAGCCCAGAGATAGAGGCAGATATCACCGCAAACCGCACCTCCACACCAAGGAGGTGCACCCCCCCAAAACCAACTCCGTTCCTCTTCCTTCTGCTATTCAAAACGTAGATTAATAATGAACACATGGATACATCTCATGGCATCGTCTTCGACCTCCTTTCTAAAGAGAAAAAAAACAACTTCTTTCTTGTTTGGCACCCGACAGAAAGCAGCTTCACTTTTATTCCCGACGAGGCAACAGGTCGAGGATGATCATCCGTCGGTGCGTAGTGGGGGAGGCTGCACTTTACTGAGACAGCTGGAGAGCAACTGGTTGACTCTCAGCAGCATCCTCCCTGCCTGAGCTCCGCATGAACGCACTGGCAACAAATGTGAACCCGACTGATAGGCACCATACGACTTTCTCTGTAGGACTGATAAATGATAAGAACAATTGCAAAAACAATACACGCAAAACCTATATCTGCCAAAAAGCTACCAACATGTTTGCAGCATTATGAGCACATCACTTCCCTATGTAAATCCGAATAATGATACAACTCATGGGTGACACGTGACTCTGAGAAATGTCTATATTTCTGGAAAACTGCGTGCACCTCCTAAATCTGAACAACGATGTGTTATTTTCTACATGGAGATCTCTTCATCATTATTATTTTATAAGAAGTAGGTAACAGTGTTTTTTTGAGTCCGTTTTTCGGTGGCACATGTGACATATTGGGAATTGTTATACTGAAATATACATGAGCACAAATCCAATGTATTTAGCTTGCCAACTGAGCTCTGAGCGCCGTTGTTCAATCACTAAGCCTCCATATGCTAAGTAAATCAAAAACATAGTCGAGGCAGAAGACATTCAGAAAGGACATCCTTTCTAAAGAGAATCAAACATAATCCTGCAAAACAAAAACAATAAAAAGTAGACATTCCTCTGAATGTGGGCTATTATTATATTAAATGACAAAAGGTCACTATAAACTCGCTATTATCATAGAAACATGAATGTTTCAGTTTGCCTCTTATTGTAATTAAACAACTTGTAAACTCCTATTATTCATTATGAGACTAGGGGATTATACAAATTACATGTTTAATCTGGGCCTGTGGTCATAACAAAAGCAGTAATGAAATTCAAATGTGGTGCTTAAGAGGACTGTTGACTCGGAGCCACAGACAACAGGTGTTATTTAAATCAAAACCAATGATTAATATTAATCAGCAACAACAGAGCCTCGATAGAGCAGCACCTCAGTAAACTCCCAACAAAACCGCCACTCAGGTTAAAAGGGATTATTGTCCAATGGAGGACAAAGTAGAGAATAGCATTGAATAATGACTTGATATTCAGATGGATGCTGACTGTGTTGTGATTTTTGGAATGTAATGTTTTTGTGCTTTCCTACTTTTCAGCTCATATTCCTACTGTAATTAAATGATTTGCATGAACTAGATTCAGCTGTACTGCTTTTAACTCTACAGGAAAGCTTAACATATTGCATGTTAGTCACACTGCTCTGGTTTTGTCTATGTTGCCCTCTGGTGGTCATATTGACACAAGCATACAATCTTTGTGAGCTTCAATTGAGCTTGAATTCATTCATATGTTCTAACAGGCATCTGACAACCACTAGTCTGTAGGGGTTTAGGTTAAAACACCAGAATACAAACACATTTATTTATCTCGTGCCTTTGGCAGAAACGAAACACCAGGTTGACAGGAAGGCAAAACATTTCATTACCAATGGGTGGGCCAACTTCGTAGCCATGGTAACAACCAAAAGTGTCGGCGCACATCAGAGGAGATAGTTCATGTGTTTCAAACCTCATTTAAACCCCATTCAGTCTCACATTACCATAATGTCTAGTATGAGGACAATTTGCAGAGGCTGAGTAAAGCAGAAGATAATCAGGCTTCATCTATCAGATCAAAAGCCATTTGCCTCATCGCCAAACAAACAGGCAATTTATAAACAAGTATAAACAAAGAGTAAAAAATAATCATCCATTAAAAAAGCCATTTAAAATCTTTCAGTCACTGTTTGACATCCCCATTGAGAGCATGACGGTTGTCTTCCAGGTTTTATTCCAGTGTAATGTTGACGGAGGCGAGAGCGTCCACGGCCCATCCCGGGTACTGGTCACGAGACGGGAACATGCGCTTCATGAACGTCCGTATAAACTCAGGGAAGCAGCCTTCCACAATGCTCTGTCTCACAGAGCACATCAGGTTGAGCTGCAAGGAGAAGTGATTGGTGGAAAATAATGTGATTATTGATCTCCAGCAGGTAATCATATTGTATTCTACATCATAAGAGTATACCGTAAGAAAGTTTACATGCTGCAACTCACCATGGCAACATTTCAGGGTACCATGTAAGCAAAATTCACAATGGCAAAATGTAAAAAGAACAAAATATGTGCAAAATTATAAAAATGTCTTGTTTTTATTTAACTTTAAAAATAAAGTATTCAAAATAGTGTGCCTAAAAATATATTATTAAGTTTGTCACACTACATGTTTGTGCTCGCATTTTAAAATTCATAATCACATAATGTCATTTTAATTTGATTGTTAAAGATGATTTTGTTATTTGATTTAATGTCATGCATTTTATTTAGTGGTTAAATGTGTTTGTTGATGTATAATCTTGATTCAATATCTAGTTATGATGTGGTTTTATCTAGAGACATTTCAGATACTGACCTGGTAGGCAATGTTGTGGATAGTGACGTGATGCATGGCTGCACTGTCACTCTTAAACAGAGCATGGAGGTAAGCTCGACTGTGTCTGAAAAAGAAAACAGATTTATTTAGTCTCCCAGGAATGCAGTTTCAAACAAATGCATTCAATAAGGTATTCCTGAATCGCTAACAAATCCCTCTTTTATACCAAATAGTGTACATTAGTGCTTTTTTAACTTCACCATCATATGACAGGATGATACAAAAATGTGTTGTTGGTTTAGTGACTTACCTTTTGCAGGTGGGACATTGGCAGTCTGAGTCTATGGGCTCGAAATCTTTGGCATACTGCTTATTTTTTATCTGGAGAGATCCCCAAGGAACCAAGGCTGAGCCAAACCTCTAAGGAAACAAGAACTTGACTGTCAGAAAATAGTTTTTCAATTGAAAAGAAAGCTGAATGATCAGTGCTAATCAGAGTGTGTGTGTGTGTGTGAGTAATAGAGAGCTTACCGCAGTGCGGGTGGGGAACACACAGTCAAACATATCACATCCCAGAGCAACACACACCACCAGATCCACAGCATACCTGCAGCACATGAATAAATCATCTGAATGATTTAATATTTAACTGAATATTTGTCAAAAGGCAAAATATGTACACACCATGATTATTTTTTTAATGAATATGAGAATAATGATGCAACTGCAGTTACCGGTAGATCTTTTTTCCAATCATTCAGCCCTACCATAAACACCACAATTCTCATGAAATATTTAAGCAAACGTACCCAACACCCATGAGGTATCGAGGCTTTTCCCGTGGCAGGTGGTCAGTGCTCAGGGTCACCATCCTCCAGAAGTCATCCTTCTCCTCTCCTCCACTCAGGCCTCCGATGGCAAAACCAGGAACATCACGTTGAGTCATTTCTGCAGGAAGGGGATAAGATGTCTCAAGCACTAAGTTCTGGACCTTATCATCAGTTTCAAACCGTTTAGGAAAGTACAATTTACAACAAGATCAGCCAGCTAGAGCATGCATTTCACTAAAGGTTACAGGGCTTCTGCAGCCAAGGCCTTTCAGCTCTGGGCCCCCTGTCTGAGGGTTTCAGAATTGCAGAATTAGAAACATATTTTTTAATTACTTCTCAACAATTATCTTAAAAGATGTAATGCGAGCACACTATTTTACTAGTTTCCACCGTGAAAAGTACTTAATAACTAAAATTGATGTATAAATATATATTACTATTATATTTCAGGCTGCCAATTTCCTTGCACAATATATTGTTTTTTTTATAAAAATCTCTAAATTGCAAATATATGATTGCTCTTGACCTCATGATATTGCCACTTGTATGATCCACACAGACTTTTTCATGAGATAAACATGTTAAAGCTTATGTACATCCATTTATACACATAATGTAGTAATAGAGCCCCTTTCCAAATTATTTCAAATAATGGAATTGTGGAGCCATTTCAACATATTCTCAGTCCCCCTCCGAATATGCAGATCCCATCCTCCAGCATCATTACAAGATATACAAAGACAGAGGTAGAAAATCAAAAGAAGATAAAAGGATCACAACAATGCAAGATCTTATTACCATCTAGACAGGCCTTGCGCAGCTCTGTATTTAGCCCTCCCTGGATGATGGCAAATAAGTTTTGTTTTTCTGGATTTTTATTGGCAGATATGCAGCGGTCCAGCCAGCGAATGGATCTGTGCATTGCCTCCTCCACCCGCGGCCCTGTCACCGTACTGCTGACCACATCATCAAGCTGCATCATGATGTCTGAACCTGGAGGGACACAAAGAAGCATGGGGAGACCATCTTTAAGTCACTGGGAAACTGACAGAAGGTACAAGTATTTGGTATTCGATACTCGTTACATTATTTTAGCACACCTAGACTGTTCTGTATGCTGATGGATTTCTCAGGAGTAAGGAGGATCTCTTTGCCATCATAGGGGGACTTGAACTTCACCCCCTCCTCTGTGATCTCTGAGAGCTCGACAAGAGACACCATCTGAAACCCCCCACTGTCCTGTAAGCAGAGGAAAGAAAACACAACATAGCAACACATCATCTACATTGTACTTTTGTGAACATTCATCATCTATGCAATCACAGTTAAAAGATAATCTATGCACTCACAGTTAAAAGATAATGTATGCACTCACAGTTAAAAGATTCCTCTTCCAATTCATGAACCCGTGTAAACCATTGGCTTTCTCGATCAAATCAGGCCCCTGCAGGCCAGTAAAGTTGAAATGGAGAAAAACAATACAAAGTTTCCATGAATTAATCAAGTCACTATTGAAGTCAATTGAGACATCATAACATCTGAAATGCTATTATTATTGTGCTGCCTACCGGTCTCATGCCCAGGTGGTATGTGTTTCCAAGACAAATCTGACAGCCAAGAGCGTCCAGCTGATCCACAGTGATTCCCTTCAGAGTGCCCTGAGTCCCGACAGGCATGAAGACCGGGGTGCTGACGGCCGAGTGGGGCAGGATTAGATCACAAGCTCTTGCTTTTGTGACAGGGCATTCAGCGACGATTCGCAGAGTGAGTGGAGAAGCTACGGATAAAGCTTTCTTGAGGGACATGATATTTTCAGAAGTGTTTGCAGCAGCTCCACACGCTCTGGTCGCAGCCATGTTGGAATGTGACGTAGGCGGATCGTCTTGACCAATCAGAGTTGAGATATTTTTTTTACACGCCTTTGGTATATCCAATAAGAATGTCAGTTTGACAGAAGGGCAGTGATGGTAGCCAATAAACTACCTGCTTTATTTGACAAGAGGC